GTTCCTTTTTATTACTAAGACATATTCCGTTGTATGGCGTTACTGCAATTTGCCATCCATTTACTAGTTAATGGACATTTGTGTTGTTTCTAGTTTTTGATTATGACAACTAAAGCTACCCTGAACATTTGCACACTGGTCTCTGTATGGATATATGCTTCCATTTCTCTTCAGTAAACACCTACAGGGGGGATTGCTGGGTGGAATTAATGGCCCTGCCTCCATCTCTCTTACTCACAATGCTGTCCATCCTCATCCCCACTCCACCTCATGCCTCCCAACACTCGATCTTCATCAGCAACACCATAAAATGTCACTTCATATTACTGCAGTTAGAGAGCTTAAAACCAAATAAATTAATATAAAAAAAGGACATGACTCTGTTCCATAGGCTATTTATACTTCAGGGTGGGCACACTCATTGACATAAGTTTCCAAGCCAACATTTATACTCTCTTTTATCTTGCTACTCCTAAAGAACCTACTCCACCTCTCTACCAAACCATCCACTGCTTGGCTTCACAGCTCCCTGTAATCTTGTCTTTGTTCCTGAGCTAATCTTGTTTTTACTCTTCCCCCTCTTAAATCTCAATCCAGCCAGCCTGAGCTCTGCCCCAGGGTCCTTACGTGGGCATGAGCTGTTTCCTCTGTATAATGCTCATTTTCCCGTCCCTAAATTGTAGTATCCTTAAAGACCCAGGTAAAGTTTCATCTCTATCCCTGTATTAATCTCCTATCATTCTTGAGGCTCATAGATACACCTTTTAGACTCTGCTCTAATTGTTCCAGGCTTGTATCTTCTTTCTCCAATAACTATGTCAGCTTCAAGGTTAAGGAGTCACCTTCTACTCCATTTGCACTTCTCCTCAATGCTCTGCACAGGACAACTGTTCAAAACCCTCATGGAGGGGTATGGAGATGAACATTATGCCTGTCACATAAGTACAGTGCTTACAAATTTGGTTTAGGAGAAGTCCAAACAGTCTATTTAGAATAGGAACCGTACCATTCTCCTTTCACTTTTCAAATGAAAGTTCTTTCTTTGCTCATTTAAACTAAAAAATTGTTCAAGGTTAAACAAGCAACACTTAAGGGTATATATTCATCCTAGCCTATGCCAGATTTTGTAACTTCCTTTCCTGAAGTATACCTGTGGAATGCCAGCAATTTGCTTGAATCAGTGTAGGAGGAAAAGAAATTCAGGAGCAGTCTGCTGAAATTATAGTTGCTAAATATAAATGATGGAAAAGAAACATCTACAAATTGTAGACCATAGGGGCAGCGAGTGAAGGGAGGACTGCTCAGCAGGCCCTGATGTCTGTTTTACATTTTCCTCAAATACTACTCATTGTAAATTCTAAGCACATGTCACCTATAAAACACTAGAGCCTGGCACAGTCACACATTATCAATTCAAACTTTGCAGGTCCATCTGTTGTAGTAAGGAAATTGCTTATTTTAGATGCTAGTTCAAAAAGAAGCTCTGATTCACATCCTTCCTCAGCAAATGGCGAGAAGGTGGTCACAGGTGGCCATTTCCACTTTCAGCAGGAGCGTGGCACCTTCAGAGGCAGGTAAAATAGCATGCAAATGTACTCCTTCATGTACACATGCATCAAATGGAGTCACCTCACTACCACTGGGAATGCACCCAATTGTACATTGACGGCATCAGCTCAACACACACCATTTTCCCGAGTGCCAACGGAGGCTAGGTATCCTCGCGTAGGGCACTTTAAGCAACACTGAAAGCATAACCTGGCTCTTACGAATCCAGAGCCCAGGTGCTCCTACAACACTGGTGTGTGCCTAGTATACTGCACTTTTAAGAAAGACTCCCCAATGAGGAGGAAAAATCAAGGCCAGTGTTAGAAAGACATCAGAATAAATTAACAATCTTCAGTCTAAAATTGTTAAAATTCTAAGGGGATATGATCAAGTTTTAGTAATCAAAAGTGGTACAGGAATGGTGAATATTGCTAAATTCAGAATACTGGAACCAGGGATTAAACATAAAATTCTTAAGACAAACACAAAAATAACTAATTCAAACATATAAAACTCATTACTCCTAAGACATAAGACAAACCGAATGAAGGATTTAAAAAATGTCAGGGGAGTTCCCAGCTCAATAATGTGTGATTTAGGGGAAAGAATAGCATAGGATCTGCAGTGACAGGGAGACAGAAGCCAGAGGGGAGCACTTTAAAAGTGAAGATGCTGAACTCTCCAAAGTGGTACATAGGTATTTTGAATCTCTTTTTATAGTAAATTATGCTATGGCTAAGTTTTCTCCTTTTGGATGCCAGTGTTTCCTTTTAAGCACAGCTGGATATATATATATTTTAAACTACTTCTAAAATCTCTGAATATTGGTTTAGGGCCAAGACAAAATTAACTTACGGAAAAGGTTGTGCATGGCAGCATTTGAGTGGTTTGTGTAAAGTTCCAAAGACAAATAAACCACTTCCCAGGGCAGAGGTGTTGGCATGTCACGTTATAAGGCTGGAAATGCCAGGACACCTAGGAGAGGCTGCCTGTGGCTCTAGCACAAGTTCTTGGCTCTGCTCAGCAGTGGCAGCTTGGGCAGGTCACCGCACAGGTTTGCCTTATCATCTCTATCAATGTGAGATAAGGGATGAGCTGGACCAGAAGATACCTTTCAGTCCAGCCCTAAAGTAGACAATGTTCCTATAGTTTAATTTGGCATCTTGAGAACAAACATGCAACTAAATTCCTTCATTAATTTTCTAACAGAGTTCTCAGAAAAATGTCACTGATGCTTGATTTTGAAATATCTCGTGAGTGTTCGTAGAAGCGTTCGTTACCCCCTTGACCATCTCTCACATAGTCTTTGCTATGTCATAAGGACGGAACAGGATACTATAGTTCCCTGTGATGGTGAAAGCTGGGAATTCTCTTTTCCACACAGTCCTCATTCTCCTTCTTAACCAGGCCAACTCCTATTTACTCGTCAGAACCCTTCTCAACCCACACCTCTTCCAGGCAGTCTTCCTGTATTCCCCACTCCTGAGCACTGTGTGCCCACCTCTGTCAGATCACTCGTCAGGAGTTAAGATGACCGTTGAACTAACTGTACACTTTCTCACCTGAACTCCTTGAGGGCACAAACCATGCTGCACTTAACTTCATAATCCTTGAGCCTGGCACATAGTAGGGACTCAATGAACAGCTACTGAATGACTCAGTTATATTTTTAAATATAATCATGTCACCATTTGCTCTGAAGTGATCACATTTATTTAGAGCCAAAAATAATGAAACCACCACTGGGGCCTTGTCATGGGCTGAATTGTGCCCCCCTCAAAGCATATGCTGAAGTCATAACTCCTCATACCTCAGAATGTGGCTGTATTTTGAGTGAGGGTCTTTTAAGAGGTGATTAAGGTAAAGCGAGGTCATTAGGGTGGCCCTGAATCTAACAGGACTGGTGTCCTCACAAGAAGACATTAGGACACAGGCATACACAAGAGACAGTGGCTGTCTACAAGCCAAGGAGAAACCAACCCTGCGGACAGCTTGACCTAGGACTCTCGGCCTCTCAACTGTGAGAAAATAAACGCCTATTCTTTATGCCACCCAGTCTGTGGTGCTTTATTGTGGCAACCCCAGCAAACTAATACAGGCTGGAATCCTATTCTGTATATGACAACATTTTTTAACAGAAAAGCCATATATCCAAAGGATACATGTGTATGTGTGTGTATGTGCATGCACACTTGGCTGCTTCCTGCCAAGTAGACAATCTGCTAGAGTTTTCCTTGGCAGGCTGTCCTGGCATGATTTAGATGGTACGTTTCTCTGTGGAAGGCAGGGCCCACTTCCATCTGGCATCTCCCTGTGCACTAAAATCAGATCTTTAAACTGGATTTAAAAGAGAGAGGGGAAAGAGAGGGGAGAGAAACCACCTGGTCAGGCACCAGTGCCCGCTCCACTGGAGGAAAAGTATGGCTTTAGGTCTAACCACTGACCTTCCGTCCAGCAAAACCTAGCGGCCTCTCCAAGGCTCCCTCTGAGAGCCCAGATCCCCATGTAGGAAGCCTACATCTTGACCCTCCCTCCTGATTGCTTCTCTCCTGCCTGCAAGGATTGAGGGTTGCAGCACAAGCATTTACTGTGAGTGCCTGGCATCACCGGCTCCTTCCACTTCAACCAGCCAGCCACGAGAATCCACCGTCACAAGGACAACAGTCTCAGATGGAGCTCTGGAGTTTTCAAGATGAGAAAGTGACATTATCACTTCTGTTTACTGCACTGGAACTTCATGAAAACGTATCCACTTTGAGTCTCAGATGGCCAGAGGTGGCTGATCATACCTCAGCAGGCACCAATTCAGAGACAAGACCAGGCAGAGCCCAGTTGGAATGGAGGAAAGGCAAGGGGGCGGGGACCCACAGTCACAAAGGCACACATATCCAGGCCCCACCACAGACAGGCATGGGGGAGGGAGGAAATTTGACACTGCACCTTTACAGCCCATTGAATGGTCCTAGAAGACACAGGGTCAGTGAGACTCTCCCACCTATGCCCCTGAGAAATGCCTACAATGGTCAAGACACTTAATAAATGCTGGATAATGACATTTTAAATTAATACTTAAACTATTGTTCCCACTTAAATAAACCTAAAGATTTCTAAGCTAGACAAAGGAAAAGCCACCCTTTTCTCTATATGTAATAATGTAATAGTTCATAACACGCCTTTGGGGCCAGAATGGTTTGAAAATCTGATTCCTTCTACTTACTAGCAGCATGACCTTGAGCAAGTAACTCAAACACACTGGCCTCAGTTTCCTTATCTATAAAATCAGGGAGAACAGTACTTCCCTCATTGAGTTGTTATGAAGCTACAATGATTACTTGTAAAGCACTTGGAGCAGTCCTATAACTGGCACGTAGAAAGCATTAAGAAACTTTGCTACAAACACAACGGAAGAGACTTTCCCCTAAGAACATAAGCCTCCATGTGAAGTAACATACCTTAACTTTGGAGTTCTCTATCAAATGCTGGGCCATGGATTTTATCAGCACATCAAAGAAAAACCATGAATACTAAAAGAGAAAACAAACATAGGACCCCAGTAAGAAAAACAAATTAATAGGTAAGACAAAATTCTCTTAGGCTGACAGTGTCATTAACATAAAGCAAGTATGACCCTAAAACATAGCTTGACTGCTCAGCAAATTGTTATCAGACTGGAGGGCTGAGTGGCAGGTGTCTTCTGCTTGTTCAACAGTAAGTAACTCCATCCTGCCGGGAAACCGGACGCCTACACTCAGCATGGCACAATCCCATGACAGGAGCTGCTGGATTATCTGTGCAGTCCTTCCCCTTTGCAGATCTCTCATTTAGTGACATCTGCCTTTATAATCACTAAGTCGGTGTCCTCCACTGACTTGACTATGACGACTTACTATGACTCAAGAGCCAGTGAAACTCTGAACACAATGCTTCTTTGCAGCTGCTATCTCGAGACACAATCAGCAAAGTTGATACTGGGGAAGTAATTCTGTTACTGCTTTTTAGGGGTAGTGGTGACTATCTCTAAAAGCACACAAAAAAGCTGAATTAATCAGGCTGTGGAGTTTGAATTTTTACTCATCAGTTTCGATACCAAAGAGCCACAATGACTCCCCTGACATACCTTTAGCAGTTTGTTGCTGGTGAGGAAATCAGCTGAAGGCTTGAGAATTGTGGTCATGGATTTGGTCAGTTCTTCATGCACTGTCTTGTATTCGGAAGCAACATATGGCTCAGCTTTATATGCATACTTTGAAGAAAAGGGAAAGAGATTTCAATGCACTGAATCTCTTAGTTGGGCTGAAAGCTTGAGAGGCTCCAAAGAATGGATAGTGGGGACCAAGGTACAATCTTATGTGTGGGAGAGGCAGTTTTGATATGAAGGTGGGAAGGGTGATTGTCATGTGATAGAAAGAGGGAGCCCAGGATGTCTTTAGGAAACGCAACAAAATATGTGACTCACCCAACTCAGATCAGGGGCATCAGCTCCTAACTCCCTCTATACCAGGGATCTCAAGGAATGAGCAGCATGACCATGGGTGACTAATATCCTGAAGAACCTCAACTTTATTTTATTTTATTTATTTTATTTTTTTTATTTATTTTTTTTTTGAGACAGAGTCTCACTTTGTTGTCCAGGCTAGAGTGAGTGCCGTGGTGTCAGCCTAGCTCACAGCAACCTCAAACTCCTGGGCTTGAGTGATCCTTCTGCCTCAGCCTCCCGAGTAGCTGGGACTACAGGCATGCGCCACCATGCCCGGCTAATTTTTTATATATATATCAGTTGGCCAATTAATTTCTTTCTATTTATAGTAGAGACGGGGTCTCGCTCAGGCTGGTTTTGAACTCCTGACCTTGAGCAATCCGCCCGCCTCGGCCTCCCAAGAGCTAGGATTACAGGCGTGAGCCACAGCGCCCGGCTATTTTATTTTTTATTATTTATTTATTTATTTATTTATTTATTTATTTATTTATTTATGAATGAGAGAGAGTCTCACCCTATTGCCCAGGCTAGAGTACTATGGCATCAGCCTAGCTCACAGCAACCTCAAACTCCTGGGCTCAAGCAATCCTACTGCCTCAGCCTCCTGGGTAGCTGGGACTACAGGCACGTGCCACCAAGCCCGGCTAATTTTTTCTATATATTTTTAAGTTGTCCAGGTAATTTCTTTCTATTTTTAATAGAGACGGGGTTCATGCTCTTGCTCAAATTGGTCTCGAACTCCTGAGCTCAAACGCTCCGCCCACCTCAGCCTCTCGGAGTGCTAGCATTACAGGTGTGAGCCACCTCGCCCAGCCCAACTTTATTTTCTAAACTATCACACAGTTGTAATTCACAAAGCTGTCTAAGACTAAAAAGCACATGTGTAACTTTTTAGAACAATAATAGCCACTACGTTTACTAAATGTTGTACACAAAGAAAGAACTTGTTGATATTTATCCTAATGCCATCTCTTGCTGTCCCACATAGTTGTCTAATGTGATTGTGGACAGAGCTAACCTTCCTATTTTGGGAGAAACACTTTTGCTGAAAATTGTACATGGAATAAAGAAAATGAAGTCGACTAACTATGCCTGAGGCCTAGCCAAGAGCAACTTAAAATTCTTCCTTAAACTTCCATGTTATTTGACATGTTATTTGGGAACCCCATTATAAGAAATGTAATTGAAAGAACTAAATTCAGTAACTAAAGGAATGGCTACCCCTCATCATCCTTCCCCTTGTCCAGAAACAAGCACTGGCAAGGAGGAACAGAATAGAAAGCATGAGTATTAAGTCACAGGTACCTCCCCAAATAACCAGGCTTGTAAAAAATAAGTCCTTAGAAGGAAAACTAGAGAGCCACATATGTAAATGATCACAACAGTTTGTTTTACATACCTTAACATATGACCTCAAGTGGCTCTCTAATCCTTCCTCATGGCACTGGGCAACCACATGAATAATGACCCTACACACCACAGGAATGAATAAAGCAATGAATAGTAATGTGAAAATGGAAACATTTCATTATTATCACAGCAGTAGTAGAACAATGAGGATGCCATTGGCACTTAGGAAACAAGGAGACAAGGAGTAAGATGGGGTCCTTACATATGGGATCCTAAAACACTTCTTAAATATAACATTCAGCATAGACCAGCATCCCAGATATGCATGACTTTGCTCCAGATGTGGACAGACTGGAAGAGAAGAAGGGCATCCATCCATCCACCTCTCTTACCGAGTCACGTTCACTGCGACTTCTTCCTGGGTGGCTCTGGTGAGGACTCGGAAGAGCTGGTTCAGGATGGTAGGAAGGAAGGCGATCATCACGTGGCCTTCCATTGCATGCAGGCTCTGCAGACGTGGGGTGGAGAGGCTCATGTTATCTACATTATCTCTGCAAAAGCAAACCAACCCAAAGTAATTCCCACTCAGTTCCAAATAGGGATGGAAGAGCTCCTTCTAAAACAGATGGAAGGCTGTGGTGGGCAGGAGGCCCCCCAGAGATGCCCACATCTTAGTCCTCACCACCTGTGAATATGTTACATGGCACAGAGGAAGTGATCGCCAACCAGATGGCCTTAACATAGGAGTTATCCAGGTGGGTCTCAGAGAATCACAAAGGTCCTTAAAATTGGAAGATGGGGGCAGAAGGGGAGAGGATCAGGAAGAATGGTCAGAGATGTGACATGGTTATCTCTGAGATGGAGGGAGGGGCTGCAAGCTATCACATGTAAAAATCTTCACTATATGTATATGTATATGTGTGTGTGTGCATATATAGTAAATATTCCATTTTTCTTGCTTAGACCTAACAAATCTCCGTCCCATTTCTTACATTTCTTGTTTTGTCCCCATGCCTAGAATGCCCTTTCAGCTACTCTATCACTTCAAAATGTCCCCCACCATCACGGGCTGGAGGAAACAACCCTAGACACACCCTACCTGACTTCCACTGCTCAGCACCTCCAGGAACCTCCCTACCCCTACACAAAGTTGGGACTGGTTATGTATATTATTTTTTGTTTGATTTGATTTATCCACTTAGCATGCCCGTCACTGAGTTTATATCCTCTCCTGCAATGAAATTCCTTCCTAGAAGCTCCTCAAGGATGAGGACTAAAGTCACTACTTCTGTGCCCGTCACTGTGCTTGGGACCAAGTGAGAGCTCAACAAGGAGGCCTGTGCCAAGTGAGTGGCTTTCCATGCATAGGAAACAATGTGTAGTAGAGATCTGGCCTGCAGAAAGGGACACAGGGAACTAGGATGAAGGCAGGAGTAGTACCATTTCTATGGCCACTGTTTGCCACTACTGAAAACCACAAAGAAGCTATTAATGTGAGACGCCCAGGTAAGAGCATCCTTACAGAGGTTTCCAAGGAGCCAGAATAACACTCACCACCAAACAGAAAACCCAACCTACTCAAGACTCATTAAAAGAGGCTACTAAGAAAGCCATGCAGTACCTTAAGGTATTTTACAAGTTCATTCCCTAAGGCTTGGGCTCCAGATTCAGTTTTCTGACAGTACTGGAAAAAATTATGTAAATGCTGATCCTACAGGCAAAAAAGAAGAAAAAGAAAGGCTATTAGTATAAATGCTGTGGAAATAGAAGCATTTTCTTCTTGCATATTTTTATAAGACTATGAAATTGATCATATAACAATGAGAACATCAAAAAGATATTCCAACAAAAGGGGAAAACTGTCGCTGAAAAATGTTACTTATAGTATTCATTTGTATCAGTACAGATGAGCACCTTAGATATACTTTCTTCAAAAAAAAAAAAAAAAGAGACAGAGTAAAAATAAATGCATACAACATATCAGGATTTTGTTTTGCAAAAAAAGTGCAAACTCAGTCCCAGAGCAACCACTGCTAATCTTAATGGAACGGCACATACCTGAGTATACACTGTAGAAACCAGATGAGTTGAAACTTTCAACAGTGGCTTGCCTCCATCTACCCATTTAATTTCTGGACCATAATGCTGAAAAAAATATGGAGGAAAAAAATCCCAACAGATTAATTATTTTGGCTTCCAACATGATCATCAGTGAGGGTTGACGAGGCATGGGCAGTTGGAGACCTCCAGTGACTCGGTGGCTGTGCCCGGCCACACCAGGGATGTAGCAGATGCTCATCTGCCCACTCTCTCTCCCTAAATACAATGCTCTTCTCACTGGATTTCCTAAGTTATCTTTTCCATTTACTTGCAGCTGTGTGAGTTACTGTCCACTTGCGAGGGAAAGCACTCTACTTCACCAGTATCTTAACCACACGTGAGCTGAGGATTCTGACAGAGCAGAAAGAACCAAATAAAGCCGACGGGACAGCAGCAGTGCGGGCACAGGACTGCGTCGGCTGGCTGCCTGTGCCAACTTTAGCTTCCAAAACCTCCAATTTTCTATTGTGTTCAGACTAGAAATATAACTGAAAGTTATATGATTTACCCTTCTTTAGGAACACTTTAACTATCTGTCCATAATATGGACCCAAATTTGGCATTATTTAAATGTAGGGAAACATTTAAACAACAGGCCACATCTGAGCATGCTATAAAGCTAAAGTATACAAAATTTAAGATGTTTAAAAGAATGCAAAGCCAACAAACCAAATAGAGAAATCTGAAGGACATCTGGTTCTCACGAATCAGAAAGGTTTATGAATGTGCTGCCATGTGGGTGAGACATTGGCTTATTCCACTTATACCAGGCTGGAAGAAAATTCCTGATAGTTTGACCCTAAGAACTCATCTTTATTTGAGCATGGCTAGTTTGCAGAGACAGACATCTACCTTATCCAGGATCTCCAAGTATCTATTTCTCTGCTAGTTCAGGGCTTATAAAATGCCCAAAGTATAATTCTGACATTGTGCGAACTGCTAACAGCATGCCTTCTAATGGTCGAAGATTACTTGGAAATGAATAACTAAAATCAAAATGTTGGGAATGGCAAAAATACTGTGTGCTTTTCCATGTTACTGTTGTTTTAGTTGTTCTTTAGTGTTTTTTGAAGGAATTGGGATAAACTGATCTTAAAGTCCTTTACCCTGCCCATCCCCAGCTCCTGGTAGCCAAGGTAGCCAGAAGGAAGGTTAGCTGAGATGGGGACATGCTGCTCACTAGTCACCACCCTTCCATCCTTCAGGAGCGGGAGCCAGGAATATCCAACTGTTAAAAAGAAAGAACAAAAAAACCCACCATAAGTATATGAAAGAAAGCCAATGTAAAACTGTCTGATTTTAAAGAACTGCTAATGTCAATCAGAGTAAGAAATTTAAAAGGCTCTGAATATAGTCTCTGCAGAACATTGTCTACAATGTACTTTGGTCTCTTTGGGATTAGAATTATACAATTTTCTTTTATAAAAATTTCCATATGCAACCCAGGCATGCTACCTATACCTTACCTACAAACTTCATATAAAAACTACTTCACAAAAGGATGCAAATTCAGAATGCAATTATAATTCAAGAACGTAATGTGTAAATTATTAAAAACCAAAATAATGATGAACTTTCCAACCTTGAGTTTCAACAACATCCTTCTTCTTTGTGCTTCCTTTACTTGAGTTATCGCAGCTGACGTGGAAGAATGTGAACAACAAATGGTGCTTTTCATGTAGCTGAGTGGGTAATTCTATTTTAATCTGCAAGGAAGACAAAATAACAATCTTTCAATATTCCAAAACATCAACACTCTCAGGGAAAGCAGAGACACAACATGTTACCCAATGGTCTCCAAACTGATATTAACATTTGCATTCAAGGACACCTGAGACTGTAAACTGGGCCAAGCAAAAAAATGGATCCTGAATTCACTGAGCAGAAATAGGAGGAGAGGTGATGGTATTTCTAAAAAGAATTGGAAAACACATGAGAGTCACTACTACACCAAGTAACCACAGCCATGGCATTATGAAGAACCAGGGTAGAACATTCCAAAGTAGCATTCATGCAGTAGTTTTAATGAACTAAATTATAATTCTACATAACTAAACCGAATGATAAGAAAGGATGATTCTTGGGTCCCACAAATGTCACTATACTTAAGTATGAATTTGAAAGGAAATATGCCTAATATTAATTGTGGTAGTTATGGTGGGATTATAACTTTTTCTTTTCTATATTATCTGCATTTTCCAAATTTTTATTTTTAAAAAATCAATTTATTACTTTCAAAATCAGAAAAAATATATAAAGCAAGTACTTCAACATTTAGTTCTATCACTGTAATTTCAGTATATTATGGAGAAATTTTGCTTTACCAAGCAAAGACTCGGTTTCCCTTAAAACTGGTGAAACTGGATTTTCCCTTGAAAACAGCACTTACCTCATCATAGAACTCTGGGTTTTGCTGATGGTGTAAAACTGCAGCAAAGGCGCTTCTTGTGAATACTGGCCCGCCAGGTCTGCCGTAAATGCACTAAAGAGTTAACAAAAGGAAACACCATTAATTGGTATTCAATTAATAGAATAAGAAATTAAAGTCAGATGTGTTATAAAGAAAGAGGTGCTCCCACACCATGTACTTAACATCACCACCTCCGATGGACTTCTTCTGTGAGACCCCAGGCCTGGGACCCCCTGCCTCCCAGGAACAGCTCACCTCCAAGCCCACCCACCTGCCTCCTCCCTGCTCCTCCTGGTCACAGCTCTGGATGAGACCTTTCTCACTCTTCCCTTTCACCCCTGCATGCCTTTGCTTATGCAATTCCTCTGATGACCTTTGCTTCTATGTGCACCAAGCAAACTCTTGTGCATCCTTTGAGAAATTGTCAACCCCTTCCTCTGTGTCCCCTCAGCATTTTTTCATACTAATTATGCAGTTTTTCCAAGAAAACACCTGTGATCCAGGGTCTTTTTCTCCATGGGTGTCTTTCCTACTAAGCTGTGAATTTCTTCAGAGCAGACACTATATTATATTCTTTTTCATATCTTTGTCTTCTTCCCTTCTTAGAAAATTTTAATTTTAAAATTTAATTTTAATATAGTTACAGTAAAGAATTTGGATTCTGGAGCCAGACTGTTTGGGTTCAAATCTCAGTTCTGATAATGTATAACTTTAAGCAATTAAATTCTGTTCATTAGGCTCCTCATCTAAAAAATATTGATAATAATATTACCTAACTCAAGACGATTAGGAGAACTAAGAGTTAAACAAACAAAAGAGTAGTGCCTGGAGTATAAACAGCATTCAATAAATGAAACCTGTAATCTATTACTATCAATACTACTACATAGTAAGCATTTAATAAAGATCACCTATTGTTGACCATCTTATTGTGATTTCTATTATCAACATTATTCATCTCATAATTCTTAGCACCCACATGACGCCTACCTCATAGTGTGTATACAGTGTTTACTGAATTGAGTACGTATAAGAAATGTTCAACCCTAAAGAGACTAACAGAACAGTCAATTAAGAGCAAGAAGTTCAATATTCCATATTCTATGAGAGACAGCCTATGTGGTTACATATTGTAACATTATATATTTTTGGTTTGTGTCAATTAAAAGATGCTAAATTTCTTTAGTTGTAAAGTATCACACAAGTGTATTTTTTAGAATGGAAAACATCAGAATATACAGGTGAACATCCATAAAGAACAAACCTTTAGGGGCTGACAGTCTTCCTCATCTGAATCTTTGAACTCAATGCAAATAGCAATATTTCTGGCCTGCAGCAACAGTTGAACAAAAGAGAATAAGAAAAACAACAACAAAAAAAAATCAGAAAATGTAAATATTTATAAAAGAACATGGGAAGTCAAATCCTAAGGGAGAGTTTGATATCAGGAGTGAAACCTCAACCTGCGCACTCACCTTGGCAAAAGACTTCTGACTGTCATATTTCAAGTACTTAGGATAGACGTAAAGGTGATTGTTGTAAATGGTGTAAGGCTGAGTGTGTTTTGGTATGCAGGGCACAAATTCCTCTACTTCAAACGTGATCGGCATTTTCGTACAGGTGTCAAACTGCTTCATGGGAATGTACGACGAATTAACATAATCTGAAAAGATGTCCAAAACAATCAAAACTGAAGTAAAAACCAAACAAAAAATGTGTCTGTTTATTACAAAGAACTGCCACTTACTAGGGAAGTCTGAGGAAACATTATCAATCGTAATGTCTAGATTGCCTAAAATCACTGGGAGTTTAGCCATCTTCTCAGGTCTACAAACAAAAGAAGAGAAAAATCAAACATTTATAAGTTAGCTTAACTCTACAACCTGAATTCTAGAGCAGCAATTCTAAGAGAAATATAAAGCAAACCACAAAAGCAATTTTAAACTTTCTAGGAGCCACACCAAAAAAAATAAAGAATAAAAAGAAACAGGTAAAATTAATTTTAATAATACATGTTATTTAACCCAACAGATCCAAAATGTTACCATTTTGGTAGGTAATCAGCATAAAAATGTGCAATCTAAGTCTTCAAAACCAGATGTATATTTTATACTTCACACACATCTCCATTAAGACTTTCTATATTTCAAGAGTGTAGCAGCCACACATGGTTAGTGGCTACCATGTTGCACAGCACAGATCTAGAACCACTCCAGCCTCACCATAAATACTTGGCTCATTCAGAACCACTGATGTGCAGAACTAGAAATTATCTTGGGCTCCAGTGTCCAGAAAAATGCTAGGAACAGAGTAGCTGCTCAGTGAAATGGTGGTCGTTTGTATTTGGTCTGACTCAAACCTAATACAGTAATCTCCTGTGACATTCCTGACAAGCGCTGCTCCTGCCTCAACCCTTCCTAGTGACAATCAGAGCTGTTTCAATACCAGACTACTCTCCCTCATGACCTGGAGAAAAGCATCTCCCTGAATCTTCCACTCACCCAGTGGCCTAGTTACGTTTCCCTTTCAACCACCTATACCTACCACACATCATGAAAACCTCAGCATTTTCGCACCTTGCTCCAATGTCATTTCCCTCCCTGCAGAACATGCCATTTAAATCACAGTATCCGGAACTGCACCGAGCAGGCCTAGTATGGTCTGAGCTGCTGGGTGCAGAGCAGCTGTCTGGTTTTAAATATATCCATATACGAATGCAGCCCAAATGCCATTACTTTTAGGTAGCCACACTACCCTCATGGCCCACATTAAATTTACAATCACCTAAAATCCCCAAATCTTTTTTTCACAAGGCTTTACTAACATGCTACATCTCTCTGTCCTATATTTATACAATTATGTTTTTGGACTTCAGAATAGGATTTTATTTGTGTCTTGATGAAATTTCATCTTTTTATGTTTGAGCCATTTCTAGTTGATCAAAATCCTCCTAAATCCAGATTCTAACATCTACTGTATTAGATATTCCTAATAGCTTTATTCATGAAGACATTTAATCAGCATGTGATAGTCTCATAAAAGTCATTGATAAAGATATTGCACAGAATATTGCCAAAAACAGGCTCCTTCTAGTATCTCTAGAGGCCCATTTCCAGATAAATATGTAGTGTATTAGTCACCGTTCCTGGCATCTGGTTGGTTACTCCAGCAGTTGAACAACTGCCCACTCAGGAGTGCAACACTTCTCTAACTTGTTCCTTGGATCTCATGGTATATACATAAGGTAAACACACTCTGCCAAAGGCTTTGCATTCCTCTACTACACCAGCTTAGCACCTCAGTTAAAGAGAGAGGAGAAATGTGGTTAGGATGACTAGCTCAACATGACTTCACTTATTCCTAGAAAACAGAAAGCCACCTGATGGTCCTTCATAAGCCACCTGTTCAATAATTTTTTAAAAACATTGCCAAGGAACATTGAAGCTCAGTGGCCAACAGATTCAGCATTTGGTTTTGTTCCCATTTTTGAAAAGTTCCTACCTCCAGTTTTAAGATTCCCCAGACATTACTGTTATCTATCAAGCAATCTCATATGTAACTTCTTAGTATACCTTGGAATACTGTTCAGCTAAATTAGGACTCCCCTAAAATTTCTAAATTCTTGCTCCCTTATGACTACAGACTGTGTTGAGTAGATCCTTCTTGGCCCATTACCAGCTCTAAGATGCTGAATCTTTTTCTCTCAGGGTCCTTCCCATTTCCACCTGTCTTCTGTTTATATCCAAGTTTAAATTAACAATTCTTTGAAATCCTGAGAGATGCAATGGTCAGGAAGGCAACTCAATGATTTTTCACACCTTCTACCTTTAGTTAAGATTTCTGGCCAAGAGATCTCCAGGTACAGCCCAGTATCACCCAGCCTTTTTGGGCCTGTGCCCACTGGGTGAGATGTTTGATACAAACAAGATCCTTTTCTTTTAGCAGGAGAAGGGTCAGTAGTTTTCCCCCAATAGTCTTTTCCTGAGAGCTTTCCACTGCCTCCCAAATGCTGTGCACTCCCATGATGATATACTGTCAGGGCCTCTCTCAGCTTCACACAAAGTTCTTCAAGGGCATCGACCTCAGACCCATGGGTTATATGAGGTATAAATTTTCTTCACATATAGTGTCTTGCTCCACCTCTTCATTTGGACAGTGCAACACTGCAATGTACCACTGAACATTGCACTCCACAAAATCTTAGAGACACCTACGAAGTTGTACCTGCTTGAGTTAGGATACTGTTTATTATAATAATATTTTTAAATTTAAGTACCCAAGAGGAATATATTTCACCCCCTTCTAGTTATTTCCACATATGAATGAATAGGCATCTTCCTCACCATTGACATCATCCACATATAAAGTTTTGAAAGAGGTGGACTTTTAAGCAACAAATTTTAATTAACCAATCTTTACTAGAAATCTTTCTATGATATATTGAGTACTTCGTGCCTAACTATATTTATTTCTTATTCTGTTTCTTCCCTCTGCTGAAAGCTTTTGCTTCTAGTTGTTGCTTCCACAGAGGCATTAATTCCATGCATTTCCGAGCAGAGATCTGAGCTTAGTTCTGTACCGCATAGCACAAGGGCTTTGTGAAAGCAGTTTTTACCAACTGTAAGTCTTTAAAAACATAATCTTAAACCTATTTCAAAAGTTTACAGTTTTTGTTGACTTGGCTTATTAGACATCAAAACCTCACACTTAAAAATTTTACTGCCTTTTTTATATGCATTTCCAAAGTGGTGGTGTGTGTGTGCATGAGTGTGTGTAAGAGTGTATGTGTGTGTGTGTGTGTTACACAAAGTAAGTTCTCTCTGACTGGGATTAGTGTGGGTTTTTTGTTTTGTTCTTAATGTTAAAAGTACCTATGTATTCTAGGTATTCTATGCAAAGGTATTCTATTCTATGCAAAACTTATAATACTTGAACATGAAAACCCATCTTAAATTTGTATCAATTAAATAAATGTGTAATATAGATACATGTAGGATGTCTGGCATCTGGGAACTGCTCCTGTGTGTAAAGGAGTGAAGCTCAAACTCTCCCTTAGGAAAAGTTTTCTCTTTCCACTGCCCATACATTCCTTCTGACTCAACAATTCCCGAGAGGGAAGGGGAATGCTATCACAAACCAGTAGTCATTCCATGCCAACTAAAGGTGACTGGGTTTTCAAAAAATTTAACTTGCTATTCTATAAGAAAAAGTGAAAGTTTCTTGGAATTCAAAAAATAACAATAATTACTGTTTGACAATACAGTATGTATGATAATATATATTGCCCACTACCAATAGAGTGTGTTTTTTCAAGATGCTAAATGTGGCTTATATTTATAATTCTGAAAAATCAGAAAACTCTCAAAATGTCCAACAGATCTGGGGGCCTTACTTATATGTTTCTGCAGCCTGGTCCTCCCTTCCCTACTTGTTGTAATGGCCCATTAAAATGACTAATTGACGGCTAGGCGTGGTGGCTCACGCCTGTAATCCTAGCACTCTGGGAGGCAGAGGCAGGCGGACTGCTCGAGGTCAGGAGTTCAAAACCAGCCTGAGCGAGACCCTGTCTCTACTAAAAACAGAAAGAAGTTAATTGACCAACTAAAACATATATACAAAAAATTAGCCGGGCATGGTGGCGCAGCTACTCAGGAGGCTGAGGCAGTAGTCCCAGCTACTTGGGAGGCTGAGGCAGTAGGATTGCTTGAGCCCAGGAGATTGAGGTTGCTGTGAGGTTGGCTGATGCCATGCCACTCACTCTAGCCTGGGCAGCAAAGTGAGACTCTGTCTCAAAAAAAAAAAAAAAAAAATTAAAAAATTAAAAAATAAATAAAAAATAAAAAAATAAAAATGACTAATTGGCAATAGGCATGCTTGATGTTTATGAGTTTACTCTTCTAACTGCATTTTGTAAAAGGAAATATTACCTAAAAGTTTTGCTGTCACTTAAAAGAAACTTCCATCTGAGAACATTCTGTAAGCATTATCAAGTGCTATGGGATGTGCTACAATGTGCACCGTACTCAGCACTACAGATGGAATGCAAACAAGATATGATTTCTGTCCTCAAGAAACCAAAAGTCCAATAGATAGTGTCATCTACTTATAACATATGACGGTAATTACTTTCATAAGAGTACATAAAAACCTCTATCAAAGTATCTAGATCTACTGAGAAGGAATAAGGAATAAGACCAGTATTCATGGTGGGAGAAATCACTCAAATATGCTTTCTGTTTATTCCCTACCCCCAGTTCTAGGAGGCAGCCACTATTATCATCTACTCTTAAAAAGAAGAGGAGACTTAGGCAGAGAAGCCAAGTAACCCTGCTCCAGGTCTCCCAGCATGGATGGGAGCTCCAAACTGGGCTTTGAAAAATGGGCAAAGTTCCCTGAGACAAAAGAACAAAGGGGAGTATGTATGCTGCCTGTGCTAGTGATTTACATGCTGCTTGGCGAGGCAGGAGGGAGACAAATGTGGTGGAGAGAAAGTCCACAGTGGCTTTAGACAAAGTCAGATGGCCCTACCTAGCCTGAATGCAGTACAAAGAGAGCAAAATGGGGGTAAGGTGGTAAAACTTGGATACAAAGAAAATAAATACACAAATAAAAAACCCTAGTAGTATTACTACCCAAACTATCCAACATTGTAGCAATAAAAAAGGTCTACATTTTACAGAAAATGCTCTATTTTTATAATTTGCCTTCACGCCTTCAGATATCCTGCGGAAGTTAGAAAAGATACCAGCATGAGCAAATCAAATATAAAATACCAAGTCTCTCTTTTTATATATGTCAGCAACACCATCTATGTGGCAGAATTGCTTTCTTACTAAATCCTGGAACTTATCCCTGGGTAATTATTGCATGGGAAAAAGTAAAGTGGCTTCTGAGCTTTGGCAGCTATTTTGGCAGCTTGAGAATATTTGTTTCATCCATTATTAAATGACATTTGAGACAATTATAGGAGCAGAAACAATAGCTTTGGATTTAAGCTGGTGCCCAGGCCACTGACATGAGATTATTTCCTATAAACAATAAAGGAGAAATAAAAAGAGTAATGCTGAGGTTTAAAAAGAAAAAAGAAAAAGAATACTCCACTTCTCTTAACTCTATGGTGAAGGACACAGGGAGGAGACACCAAGCTTCTCTGGATTCTTACTGGGGACAGCGGTCTTCCTCATCCTGCTGCATCTTCTGATGCTGTTAGTGCTGGATCCCTATTTTCAGATTTCTGGGTCTCCAACTGACCACTTGGAGCACACCCTTCACACTAAATCCCTCCAACTGAGCACAGGTATGAAGGCATGGTGTGCAGGACAGAACCCGCACCTGGTTTCTCCCTGTGCTCTCTGCCGCCTCTCCACAGGCTTTTTGCTCAGATTGTGTTTGGTGAGTGGCATGGGAAGTCCCACACTCCAGCCCCCACTTGAAAGATAGGACTGTGACCTGGGGCCACCTAAGGCGCCACCACTGTGTGGTTGTCTCAAGGTAACCAAGCTGGGAAGTGACTTTTGAGACAGAGACCAAAACACCATCCCATTTTTAAAAATTGTTTGTTTTGTCCAAATACAAAAGTAAATATTAGTTTTTTTTTAAAGTTTGCGTAAAAGTCACAGAATGCTATAAAGTGGAAAGTGGAAAATCGCCCATAAACCCATCCCTCAGACATAACCATGATTAATATTTTGGTGTACAGCCTATATGACTATTTTTATGCCTGTCTGTCTTTCCATCTAGCTAGCTCTTTGACTATCCATTTCTTCATGTACATACAAAAAGAAATATATAAAATAATTTTTTTTCAAAGATGAAGTCATATAGATATATTTTTTCTTCCTTAACAATATAGGTGTTCCAGAGGACATACAGACCTACATCATGATTATTAAGAGTTGCACAACAGTCTAGTGAGGGAAAAATACTGTAATCTATTCAACTAAAGGTGATTGGGTTTTCAAAAAATTAACTTATTATTCTATAAGAAAGACAGAGTTTCCTAGAACTCAAAAAATAGCAATAATTACTGTATGACAATAAAGTATGTACAATAATATATATTACCCACTATCAATAGAGCATGTTTTTTAAAGATGCTAACAGTGGCTTATATTTATAATTCTGAAAAATCAGAAAACACTCAAAATGTCCAAAAATGAGAGACGAATGAACTAATCTATAGTCCCAACTGTTGAATGAACAATTATAATATTAATAGGCAATAAAAATGATGTTTATAAAACTGTATAACACCTTCAGAAAATACTTGTTATAATAATGTACAGGAAAATATTACATATTTATTATAATCATAATACAAACTAAAACAAACAAAAATACAAAAAAAATAACCCCCAAAAGTTCAGAATGATCCTCCTCATAGGAGGGTAAAACTAAAGGTAAACCCTTTTCTGCCTTCTATTTTCTGTATTTCCCAAAATTTCTATAATGAACATGTATTATGTTTATAAATTAAAGAATCTCTATTATTTAAAAAGAAAAATAAAGTGCTATTATTTGGTCTTCCAAGAACAGTTACAGATTCATAGGGATCCAGGCCACATTCTGGTCCCACCCCTTGTTCTTGCCAGGACACAGGACTGTCAGACAGTGACCAGCATTTCGGGGCATCTTGTATGGTCCAGGAACCCAGAAAGGCTAACCAAGCAGGCCTCATCCTTCCCTCCCCCTGCTCCGATTACCTATGTGACCTGGGGAAGTTTCACTCACAGCCAACCCACTGGGTATGCACTTGGCTTTGCTGAACAGGCAAACCTTATTGGTACCTGGAAGATTAGCTTCGTGATAGCAAAACCAAGGTTGCACTTCTCATTAAAGCCTCAAATGGGGGAAACATCAAGACAGTCAACAAGTATAGCATCATATAACTGAAAGCGACTTTGAGAATCTCCCCCAGCCCCTTTCTAGTTTTTTAAACCTCTTAGCAAGAAATTTCACATTATCTTGAAGGCTGAAGCTGCCTGTTGACATGGACATGATTAGGTTCTTATTAAGAATACATCTCTAAGCTTTTGGAACTTATTGAGCCTATTTCTATGTCTAATATCTCTTTTAGACTTACCACTGAAGAGAGAGAAGAAAAAGGTAAAACTGAAGTTAAAGAAAGCTACACAGCCCTTCTTGAGTTCTAGGCAAACCGATAACATTGTTATTTTGATATACATTTTTTAGTCAAAAAATAAGACTGGAAAAGCACCCAGGGCACAAAGTTGTTAGCACTTGGCTCTTGGCAATTCTGTTCATTTTATTACCTGCTAATGCCATCATCACTTTCTCTCAGAAAAAATTTAAAATCCATTTTCCTACCAATCAGTTTCACAGGTTCAGAAGTGAACTCATTAGGATGGAGCAGCAGAACAACACGGGGTTAGGAGCACAGACCCCCCAGGCCAGGCTTACTCCACCCACTGCCAGCTGTGTAAGGTTGAACAAATCCCTTAACCCCTCATTGCCTGACTGTGACAAATTGAACTGTGTCCTCCAAAACGATATGCTTCAGTACCTATAAATGTGACCTTATTTGGAAGCAGGATCTATGCAGATGTGATCAGTAAAGATGAGGTCACTAGGGTTGACCCTGATCCTTTATGACTACTGTTCCAAGAAGGAAACTGAGACAGACACACAGGAAGACGGCTAATTGGAGTGATGCTGCCATAGCCAAGGAACACCTGGGGCTACCAAAAGCTAAAAGAGGCAAGAAAGAATCCTCCTCTGGAGACTTCAGAGGGTGTGTGGCCCTGCCAATGTCTCAATTTCTGGCTTCTAGCCCTCAGAACTGTGAGAGAATAAATCTCTATTGTTTTAAGCTACCCAGTTTTGGGTACTTTATTATGGCAGCCCTAGGAAAGGAATATACTCATTAATACAAGAAAAGCAGTTAGAAACATGGCTGCAAATAGTAAGTACTATGTAAGTTATTATCTTTCTCCCAATTACCTAATTCACTTATTGGTACCCTGAGTCAATCCATCTTGAAAGTTAGAAAACTGGGAGTTACTTATCTTAGACAACTACCCACTTATATCTCCTTGCACCCCAACACCCAATCAGGAAGCAAAGACCCAGTAATCATGCCTCTTTAACATGACTTGAAATATTCCCCTTCTTTCTAATTCCACATGCAGTGGCTATGCTGAGTTCTTTCTCATCTCTTGACAAAAGTTCTTCAACTGTCTCTTCCTCCCCAGGTTCATCTCTACCTCCACTCTCCCTTCATAGCACCACCCAAACACCCTGAAAAGAATCAAATGAACCAGGTTCCATGCTGACCTTCTTCCTTCCCAAGAACTTGAGGAAACATTCTCATCCACCACCCCCTCTGATGTTTCAGTCAAGCAATTTAAATGATTGCTCCCCTATTCCTCCCTCCCCACCACACAATTTCTATTTCTCAGGTGTGGAAATAAGTAAGACCGTGAAACTCACTTCCGAAAGTCTGCAAGTAACTTGAGCATGTCATCATTGGATAGCTTATTGCTGTCTTGCCTGTAGATGGCCGAAAATCTGGCATTTTTGTCAAGGTTTCCAGATGCATCTTTAAACAATGTCCTGAAATAGCAAAGCAACATTTCTAAACTGGGTTTCCAAAAGACCAAAATAAACCCATCATGTAAGCCTGGTTTCTATGGCAAGGCTAATTACTGTTCCATTGGCTATAGCCAAGAGAAATCTTATTATCTAAAAACATGGACATTTATGAGGGTGAGCACAACTAACTCAATTTACATAGAAAACAGTTCCAGCCAATAGTTTGTGCTTAGGAAACAACACACACAGTCAAATGCTTAAGAAGTAGAGACCAGAGATAAAGATCATTCCAGGCTTTGCTGGACTGTCGCCCACTGCCAGCTGGAGGCACGTGGCAGGGCCCTGGAATGCCAGCTCCGCAGCAGATACTCCTGTCCATCCTGCTAGCCCCTGATGGCTCTTCTCTGGTCAGCGTCTCTCCTCTCTGTGACTCTACTAAATGGTTTTTCAAATATAGGGCTTATTTTTCAATTTTATACATTCACATCCTTTCTGTCTCTGAACAACAGACTGGGACTGTCAACCTATCTACCTGTCCATGTATCTATATCTATATAAAAGGTGTTCCCCTTACCTTGCGGCCCAAGCAAATGGCATTCTATACTGTCCCAGTCTTTGGCAGGCTTGCTTGGCATTCTTCAGCACCTTCTGAGCCACCTTGAAGACATCAGAATGAAGACATGAGACACTACATCTGACAGGAGAATTATGACCTAAGAAGCCTTCAACACATGTTCATTAAACAAGCAATGCTAGCATGCTACATCAGAGGCATGGAAAAACACATCTCACAGCAATGAATATGGCCGGTTCACACTCAGTGCACGGTTCTTTATTTAATACATTCTATAGCAGTGATTCTCAAAGAATAACAAATAAAGGCTGTTTACAAAATGCAAGCCTTTTCTTTGGTCTTCACAGGCAACAAGTGCTATTTCACAGGCTTTCATACTTCCTTACAAGTAAAGACTATTTGTTATTATAAGTCCAATGAGTTATTAATAATTACTATTATTTGGTATTCATGCCAAAATACATCACATTACTAGAGTTTAAACAAGAACACTAACGAAAATGTTAAGTTTTCACAGCTCCTAATGTGCACCGGCTTGTGAAGATTCCCACAATTTGGGGAATAAGACATCATCACAGGTACCAACTTAAGTTAAGCCAGGGTTTTTCATGGCTATATTCCTGTTTTCTAAATATAAATTACTGCTATTTTCACTTCCCAATGACCAATTTTGGTTTGTTGTGGGTTGATTAATACTGTAGTGCACAACAAAGCTTATTTGCTTTTAGACTAAGACATGTATGTATGGCAGGCCTATTACTAATCAACTACACTCTTATTGCTAAAGCAGATGACACCTAATTTTTCCAAATTTGCTTATACTATGATAATGCACTGTTACCAGTGCAATATTTGATTAATTCAGAGAGTCAGAGTGGCAGGTAGAAGGGTCTTTTTACTTAAGTACATCAAAGTCAAACCAATTTTGGGCAATGTGCTCTAACACCTGTGAATCAAAGTGTGCTCTACTAAGCTGAAGCCACAGCATCCCTGTTAGAAATGCAGAGTTTCAGGCCCTGCTCCAATCCTCCTGAATCTGAGCCTGCACTCTGACAAGACCTCTGGTGATCTGTGTGCAACATCAGGTGTGAGAACCGAGGACTAGAAGATTCAGGAGATGATAGATGATTGTCTCTAAGTCAAATGGAAACCAGCTGTGTGACTCTGTAGGTCATTAAACCTCTCTGGGGCTCCACTATCCTCACTTGAAAAATGGAGGGCCTGGGCTATACTTTTCACAATCCCTCCCAGTTACAAAACTTTATGATCTTACCACAATCATGCTGTGAGAATCCCTGCCTTTGTGAGTCAACTGGAAAACACATCTGATTGAAACAGATGTCAGGGGATCATCTAGTCCCTCCCTTTCTTCTTCAGTGGGGTATGTTCTTGCCTCCCTGGGACGTCTTAGTGGGGTCTCAGGTGTATGCAGTCATAGGGTAAAATAGCTTAGCTTCCTGGAGGGTCAATTTTATTTAAACATTTTCAGGCTCAAGATTTTTAGGTTCTAACAATAATGAATATGTCGTGGAATAAAATGTAGTATCTGTATAAGATTTTAAGCTAAAACACATGGCTTCAAGAAGTCTTCCCTGCAGCAAATGAGGACTGAGCTCTAAGACTTCACAAGGGTGCAAATAGAACATAATACATGTAAAAGCCAAAGTAAAAAACATGTTTTTGCCCTTTGGGGTTTTTTTCTTGGCTTTTATTCTCCCTTTCTTTAAAAAAAAATCTATTAATGGTAGATACCTATGGAGACTTTCTGTAAAAATATCCTCCAAAATGAAAACTTACTCCAAATAATGTTCTAGAGATCATCTTGGAAAACAAGGAGACAACTCTGATAGAAAAAATTATCTCACTGTAACATCTCTGCCACAATTTCTCTGCTGATTAAGATGATTGAGCCTTAATTCCTGCTTTAATTTAATGCTTTGGAGGTGGTAGGAAAATGAATGCATGGATGAGCTTTACACACGGATGAGCTTTAGATCCCACAAATAACCAAGGAAAAGACTTCAACAGATGCTTGATGGACAATGGAAAGTGTGTGAAGTTTAGCTTTCAGTGATACGTGATTTTTACAGCAATACAAGCTGCCAAATTTCAAACCGTGCATGTGGCAGGCAGAAGTAACAAAGTTGGTGTGTATGGGGCTAGGAAATGTATTGCATACATAGTTGGGGAAGTAGAGCTTATTTTAGGCCTTCATTGATTATTAATCAAAACATGAAAGAGCTAAAAGAGCTTCTCATCCAAGGTTTTACAGACTTGGTTTAAAAAAATAAAACAGCGTCTCTCTAGAGACTGAACTTTACTCAGCGTTTATCAGCCAAAAAGGCTTACTGTTTGAAGCAATGTGCCTGGGTAAATGGGCTTTTACTTGACTGGGGCTGTAATAAATAATGATGTCTTATGTGTGTTCCGTGATTTAAGTGCCCACAGCACCGTCTCGTACATTATCTGTTTGACCCTAACATTGTCCTTCTGAGGAAGGTGGGGGCAGGTAGCGACATCATCCTTCACCCACAGATGGGACATCCGGAGCCAGACAGGTGACATGATTTGTTCAAAGTACTCAGGCTAGTTAGGCACTCAGTACCCAGGGCTTTTCACAGGCAGACCTGTTCTTTAATGGCCATCCTGCATTTGGTGGACACACCTATGACGTGCGATTGCCCACAGAGATGAGAGAGAGCTCTGAAGCCAACTTAGTACACCTTAGTTAGAGCCGCTAGGGTATCCACCCCCGCTGCTGATTGTCCTTGTCAACGAATCCAGGCCATCTGTCAGACGACCATGTATACATATTTTTTTAAAAAAAGAAGAACTAAAAATATTGTAAAACTGGCAAGGACAATAGCACTCAATAGCTTACTCTAACCAGATAGCACAACGTTCTAGTAAGTGACAGCAGTCATGTGCCCTTTGGCCACTCCAACTGTGAGACACTAGGCAGGTAACTAACCTATGTACACCTCAGTGTTCTGAAGTATGAAAGCAAATCTCAGACTGGATGACTTTGGTATGTCCACACCTAAGCACCTCCCAAGTGATGAACACTACTTTGGAAAGTACATCAAACACACATCTTGTATGTCCTCCTTCCCTCTTCCACCTAAGGTCATGCCACCTCTGCCACGTAACTCTGCCCCTCTAACAAAAACTAAGTGGACCTGAACCATTGACACCACAGGACAGACTGTCTGAGACAAGGGCATCTCTGCATCTCCAGCCTCACATATAAGTGTATATGGACCAAAACATAATTCCAGAACCCAAGAGGCGCCTCAATAAATAGAATGAACTCTGTCTGAATACCATATATGCACTTGGTAATAGCAGAAAATTTACTATAAAACTAGTAATCCATTGCAAATTATTTTAGGATGTCAGGATAGATTAGCCAAATGAAGCCTTTTATTCACATATAGGAATACCTTTCATTAAAATCACCACATAAATAAAGAGTAAAGACATGTAGAGCATTCTTCACCTTCTATTATAGAAATATGGCTTACATTTTGTCTAATTAAGCATTTATATTTTGACATAAAGTCCTCTTTTCAGATTGCTTTTTATCATCTCAAAGCATAAAAGTCATTCCTACCTTGGAAGAGTCTGAACTTTTCATATACGGCTCAGCACAATGCGTGATGCTCCCCTGAAGGACCTTTTCGATTCTGGCCACGAGAAATATATCTGGATGAGGACACGTGACTGAAAATATTCCCTAGGGAAACAATTTTCTTCAGTAAGCAGAATTCACAGTTGCACTAAACAAATCCCACAAACATTAAAATAGCAAAGAACAGTGAAGCAGAATAACCAGTAAGGAGGCCCCAGTGCCAGGGCCAAACTGGGGAGCTACTCAATAGTTTAGCATCAGTTCAAAAAGTCTATTTGGTGGGAGAAGTGATGAGGGCAGGGTTTAGAAAGAAGCAATGAGAAATTAAAAGCCACTTATTTCTCAGCCTGATTTTACTATCAAATTATAAATACTGTTAAGATACTGTTATATATAAATATATAACATATAATATACTGTTATATATAAATACTGTTAATGGTCTAATTTACCCACTGGTGCATTACAAGGTCTCATTTTAGCACTGTCAATGTATTTATGTAACATGCAAGATTAAGTCTGAGCAGTATGACCGCAGGCTCTCGGTCCCCACCTGCTTCGGATACTGCATGGCGGCTTCGTGGAGGATGCCCTGAAGGACAGGCGGGCTCTGCCTGCTGCCGTTCATAAGAGCCGGGGATGTGGTGGCCAGCATCTGCCTCACGGAGAAATGGTTCAGGTCCACATGGAAATCCGCAGAAATCTTTCGGTTGTATTTTATGTCAAACAGGGATAAAGTAACAAAGAAAGGCTCTACCTGAACAAAACAAAACAATTCAGGTGATCACTATGGCTCAAACAGGGAAAAAGGATGCTGCTATTAAAGAAGAAATGACAAGACCTATTTATGATTGTTGCCATAAATTTCTACTGAACAGTCCCATCCTTTTTCATATAGAGAATTAGATAATAAGACATTTTAGTAAACAGAACAATTATTTTACTTTTATGTACTTTGCTATTTAATGTATGCTCCAGAGAAAGCAGATGGTTGCCTTCCCTCAAGTGTCTAAGACAAAATCCAACTCCGAGAAACACTGAGCACACACCTACCATCTTCATCCTTCATCACAAACATCCTGTCCCTGCAGCTAAACAACCCTCCATATCCCAATCCAGACACTGCACCTCTCTGATACCGGAAACTAGGATTTCTCATCCAGCCTACATTGTAAGGGCTCACCTCAAACTTCTGATTATTTAAAAAAAAACTTTATTTTTAAAAAGAAAAATTACATTTGTAGTGGGTCCTTCTTCATTTTCAGCAACACAGCATTGCAAATTGAAAGATAAATCATTGCACTTGACAAGAATTCTTTTTCCAAACTTCTCTTCAAATGGCTTCACTTCTGGCTCGGCTGATGAGAAGTCAAGCTTCTTCAAAAGAAAACGTAAATATATAAATATATTATGCTGCTATTTTAAAAAAATCTCATCATAAATGCATCTGGAGGAAACTGCTTAAAATATGTAAAAGCTATACATACTCATTTATTCATAACAATGTTACTACTTTAATAGTAAGATTATATAGTTTATAATAGTTACATATAATGTCAAGCAAATGACAATATACCTACTCAATAGATGATTATACAGACTCTAAAAATCATAGTTATGAACAAACCAAGTGTCCATCAACATATATGTATGGATAAATACAATGTGGTATATGCACACAATGGAATATTATTTAGCCATAAAAAGGGAGGAAATCCTGACACAAGCTACAACATGATAGGCCTTGAAAACTGTATGTTAAATGAAAGAAGCCAGACACAAAAGGACAAATACTGTACAATTCCACACTTATAAGGTCCCTAAAACAGACAAGTTCACAGAGCAGAATAGAGGTTACCAGGGAACGGGGGAAGGAGGGATGGGGCATTATTATTTAGTATACACATTCAGTTTGGGAAAATGAGAAAGTTCCAGAAATGGGAGGTGGTAATGGTTGCACAACAATAAGAATGTATTTAATGCCACTAAACTGTACACTTAAAAATGGTTAAAATGGTAAAATTTATGTTATATATATTTTATCAAAATAAAAATTGCCTAAAAGCAAAGAAAAAATATACACACATTCATATGGTTATAAGCTCTGTAAAGAAATATAGAAAAATACTTTTATTACAATTAAATGAGAGAAGAAGGTTTCATATTTGAGATGGAACCTCAGCTAGTTGGAAATTATCACTGACTCTGAGGCATCTGCAATCATACCTGTTATTTTATAATGGTTATTTTAATAGGTAAATTATATGTTCTATGTGAACTTGAGAATGTCTTTGGACAAATCTCTCTCAATTTTCAACAATCATACAAATGTTCACAATAGTAATGTTATGGTGATGAGATCATGGGTTTTTATTTTTCTTTTCCCCAAATGTTCTATACTACATTGCTTGTCAATACAAAATAAACAAAGCAAACAAACACTTCGAAGATTTTCTTGCCCCTGGTTGGTTTTAAATTTTAAATATTAATATAGTTCTTACCTGGGCATCTGGGTCCAAATAAAAAAGTTTAACTCTGCTTTCACTTTTCAGCTTGATTTCTGCTTCTCTGGTACTCTGATAACAAGATAAATAAAAATTACTCTTAACAAAATCATTTTCTTATAGAGATGTCCAAATATGTTTAAAAGTTGCCCCATCCTGAAAGTTCAGGCTGCTAGAAAATTCTGCCTCATCTTGGGAGAGCCGGCTGCATGTCAATGGACAGGTATGCCAGGGAGTACGCAGCACACAGAGTGTGCCAAGAGGGGAAACGAAGTCAAGACACCATCTCTGCCCTTATGAAGCTGACAATGAAGTATAGAGTCAAAAACAACACGAAGAAAGCAAAAGAGAATAAGCACTTATCTGTCAAGAAAGGCTTTGTAAAGTAGTGGAATACAAGACGGGCTTTGATTGAAGGGGAGGAATTTAGATAGCAAAACGAGGATAATATGAATGTTTCAGGCTGAACAAAACATGAACATTCCAGGCACAGCACATGTACTGAGGATAGAAATGAGCCCAGGTGGCAGAAAGGATTTAGTAGGGTCCAATCTAAGACTGGGTACAAGAAGGAGAAGAGAAAGAAATACACTTTGAATGGTAGATAGAGAAAACTATGCAGATCATCTCATAAATATTCACTGAGCCCCTCTTATGTGCTAGGCACTAGGGACACAAACATGAATGAACAAAGTCCCTATCCCTGAGGAACACCAGCTGGGGAGACAGCATATCAACAGGTAATAAGAAAGACAAACGAGAGTGTAAGGTGCAGTGGGGAGCCCCCCTGCACTAGGAGGTAGGAGTCAGGAATGACCCCCCAGAGAAGGCCCATCTAGTATTTTTGTTTGTTTGCTTGTTTGTTTGTTTGTTTTTTGACACAGTGTCTTACTTTGTTGCCTGGGCTAGAGTGCCACGGCATCAGCCTAGCTCACAGCAACCTCAAACTCCTGGGCTCAAGCGATCCTTCTGCCTCAGCCTCCCGAGTAGCCGGGACTACAGGCATGCGCCACCATGCCCGGCTAATTTTTTCGATATATTTTTAGTTTGCCAATTAATTTCTTTCTATTTTTAGTAGAGACAGGGTCTCACTCTTGCTCAGGCTGGTTTCAAACTCCTGACCTTGAGCAATCCTCCCATCTTGGCCTACCAGAGTGCTAGGATTACAGGCATGATCCACTGCACCCGGCCAGAAGCCCCATTTTGAAGGACAAGAACTTTTGGCCAGGAAAGGAGAAAGGGGCATTCTAGGGGGAGGCACTGAAATGTGAAGGGACAATAAGTCACACCTGAGCAACTACCAAGTTGTTCATTATGACCATAAGACTGGGTGTGATGGAAAAGTAAAGGGAAGTCAGTATGGGACTTGTATGCTAAGGACAGAGGATTTCATTCAGAATCCAAAATATCTGACAATATTTTAGGCAAGAGAATAAAATGACGAGTTCCACATTTTAAAAGCATCACTTGTGTAAGGCTGTGGCAATGGATTAAAAAGAGTAAGATCAGAAAGCTCACAGTTTCGTTCTTGGGTTATCACAACAAGTCTCCCAGTCCCACAGCGAGGCCCACAACAAATCCTGTTTCTAGCTCAGGCAGCCTGCTGAACAGTGAATGCATAGCCTGAGACGGGTAACTCAGGGAGAAAAGCAAATCTGTAGGAAGATGATAAATAGAGTGTGAAGATGTCCATGGGATTTCCAACTGGAAACATGCAGTAGACAGCCAGAGGGGTGGAACTTGAGCACAAGGCAGAGGAAGAAGTTGGAGTTACAGACTTGGAGAACAGCACAGAGGTGGGCACAGAAGTCAAGAGAATGGATGAGATGCCCGGAGGGAGAGTGTGAAAGGGAGTCTGAGGACAGAGTCCCAGGGCCCACTAGTGAAGAGGTGGATAGAAGAGGAGAAGCCACTGAAGAAAACAGACAGATGGTGGCAGAGATGAGGGCTGGAGACGTGGGATTTGGGAACAGAGGCAGAGAAAGAGGTTTCTTGGACACTTGCAAGATAAACGTCATCTCTATCCTCATTATTTCCCATGCCTGGAACCTCTAGATCTACGTCCAATTCTTCTTGATAGTCAGAGATCTCTGTTGTTCTCAATCTCCACAGTTAAGTCTACAGAGTCAGAATAGAATGTCATCTCTTATCTGCTGCCTTCCCCAAAGACATGAGTCACCTCAGAGCACCTGATAATGGGGCAGTGACAGTCACAGTGGAAAAAGCATCTCACCTTCTCTCTCAGTGGCTGAACAAGGTCTATTATTATACTTCTAATCAAGGCTAATGAGAAATTAAGCAGCTTTCTCAGGCACGCAGTTGATATATATAATAGGTCCTCAGCAAAGATCCAAGCTCTCATGACTGTATTTAAGCAACTGGTCTATGTCTAATGAAATGACCAGTAGAATGCTAACAAAGACGCTGCTGGGTTTTAGTTCTAAGAAGTTCAGTCGCTAACTAGCTGTGCAAGCCACCCTTTACTCCATTTCCATTAGTGAGTAAAAATGTGGAACAAGGTGATGGCTCAAGTCTCTGACCACAACACGGTTTATCTTGATGCCATCAGAGGGGGCTTGAAGGCTGTGGAGGTCAAGAGACATTCCTATGAATCTTCTGTTCATGCTTCCAGGGTAAAATACGTGGCCATGGCTGAGGCAAGCTCTCCCCACAGGGAGGATGGGACCATTTCATTTTACTCAATCCTGCCTATTGCCTTTCCTAATTTTCCACATCAAAAAGAGATAGAGTATGTGCAAGTGGAATCTACTTAAGTGAACCCAAAGAATTTGCGTTATATTGTATACTGCCCATGACATTTCCTAACAAAACCATCAGTACTAGGTGCAGCAAATCACCATCAACAATAACATATCTACTTCTGACTGTCTGCCTGCCTCCTTCAGCAAAGGCAAATACTGTACTGTGACCTCAGATGCTAGATTACAGCAACAGGTTCTTAATGTAGATGCAATTCCTGGGGCCCTTCTGAAAGATGCTTTTTGTCTCAAGTTGCCGTGCTACGAGATGAGAAATGAATACAGCAAGAACAAGTGCTATGAGCTCCATATAATTAGAGGACAAATAGGAATGCAGACATATTAAAAGAAAGAAAATAAACTACTAGCCAAAATATTAATAGACACAAAAACATCCTAGTATCGCCACTAATATCCAACAGATATATTCTTCACTAGAGAGACCATTTAATGAGAAAGAAGGGACAACTTTAGACATAATAATAACCTAAAAGCTTGTGATCTACCTTGCATACACTGACAACTCTGCTATGAGATAGATAAAAATCAAACTGGGCTTCTTAAGGTTCCTCCCATCTCTCCCAAGGCCTAGGACAATGCATTAAACAGAAGTGAGTCCCAATAAATAGTGGCTGAAGGAATTACCAAGTAAAATCTAGCAGGTAAGAAAAAGTGGCTTAGGGGAGGGGCAGGACTTCACCCCAGAGTTCAGGAATAATAAATATCTGGAAGAATAATGATGAGAAAAACTAATATTCATTGATAATAGCCAACATCTATCTGCCAGATATTATCCTAAGTGCCCATATGAATTTTACAGAGCCATAGGAGGCAGGTGCTATTACTATCCCTGCTGGTTAGAAGAAGAGACACTGAGGCATGAGGGTTAAATACTTTGCCCAAAGTCCTAGGACAGGAAATCGAAGCCTTGCTTCTAATACAGGCTGTCGGGCTCAGAGCCCAGCCTCTCAGCTACTACGCAAAAAAGACAAAGATACAGAGTACAAACAGGCAAGTCAGAGAGGAAGAAGAAACCATAACAGAAAATACATACATGAAAATATTAAAAATATCACTATTAACCAGTGAAATATAAATTAAATCAGAGTAAAATAGCATTTTCCCCTCCTCTGATGAGGATGCAGAGAAACAGGAATGTGAATTGTATTAACCTCTTGGGAAAGTAATCTGGAAATATTTAAAGCATTAAACACACAATAACTTTTGACCTAAAATTCCCATGTTGGAAGAATTTTCCTACTAAAATAAGAGCACAAGTATTTAATGTCATGTTGTTTACTATGTATTGTTGGTGGAAGCTAAACACTGAAAACAACCTAAATGTTCATCAACAGAGAGGTGGTTGAATAAACTGCAATACTCACAGTTGGAATATTACGTAGCTTACTTTTGTATAAGGTGGATTACAAGCTCACTATGAAAATTAGCAAACTAGATCCTCTACTAACCCAAGAGACATCTATAAAATATTCTTAAGTGACAGAACAAATTTCAGAATAATGTATATATTATGAGCGTATTTTTTAATACCTACAAAAATCCTACATGTATGTATGGGTGTTTCTATGAGCAATCAGTTTGGTGAAAGGGGAATCACAACAGCTTAACATCAGTGTCCTGTGGAAAGTGGGCATAGAGGATGAAGGGAAAGGACTAACTTTGCTTTAAACAACTTTGGGTATTTCTATTTATTATAGCAAGCACATTTATTTTTAATTAAAAATTTTAACAAAGACAATAAAATAAATACTTGTAATATGTACAGCCCACAAAACACAGCCATAAAAAAAACATCATCCCTAAGTCTACGTAGTTGAGCATTTCTCAAAGTGATAGAACCCAGCTCTGCTCTTACAATAACCCACGGCCAGCCATATCATAGCAAACACCCTGTGGCCACCATCCTGACCACAGCCTGCTGACTACTTTGGCTTCAGTGGAAAGATGAGAGGAAAATGGACACAGAAAATGGACAATGGCACAGCCATTCTCTGTAGAAACCGGTGCTTGCTCAAAAGTCAAAGAAGAGAATGATTCACCTAAAATAAAGGCTGTTCCCCAACCCCTCCCACCCCACCCCATAAAGCCTCAATTCAACAATTAATGACACACCCTGACAAGGTTTTCTTCTTTGTCTTAAAAAGTAACTATGGAACAAATATTCAAGAGTTTCCAGAAAGTCTGCTGTCGGCTTTAGGTGTACTCTGTGTCTTAAGTTTATTTGTGAGCAGACAAAACAAGTCAATGATTACAGCCAATAGCATCCTATTTTCGGGATGAATTATGAGAAAAATATTGTGTTGATTGTTGGGCCAATTTAAACAGAATGGGTTGGTATAGGAAGATTTAGCAAAATCCTTTGAGGCCAGAATATAATATATTCTTTAATTTAAAAGGACTATTGTGATCTATTTCCACAACTTCCAAGATATCTAACTCTCCTGAATCAGCATCTCGCCCTGTGTCACAAAGCTATAATAAATCATTCCAGAATAAGGATACCTAGAAATGGAACTCTGGATGACCTCACAAACACAACGCTAGCCAGTTCCTTTGCACTCTAATGCAATGATATCGTTTTCTGGATTAAGAAACAGCGAAAGAAGCACTTATTAAAGACTTGGTTTAAAAAATCAGAAAAGGTGTCTATGAAACCATTTGGGTTCTGACGAGTTCCCCAACCTCAGTGAGACTATAAAGTTTGAGACATCAAACTTTCTCCTGCGTTCAACTGTGGAAGTCTTATCTGGAAAGACAGATTCATTCGCTTAAAAAGAAGTTAGAAGGTAATAGGGTATGAGCAATTTTGGATTAACAAGACACTCTGCTTTTCTTTCAGAACCACATGGGGAGACCAAATTAAGAGTGAGCTGCTGTTCTTTGAGTACAAAAAAAGCTCAAAAACAGAAAAGCTGTGAAGAAAATATAAGGTAGGAGCATGAGGGTTTTCCTTCAGACTATCTTTATACAAGGAGGTGACATATATGTTCCAATGTCACCTAAGATAAACGTAACCACAGAAATTAAATAACTAAGTAATGGGGTTTACAACATGATCATGTTACCCCCTTGACTTTCTTTCTAGGGAAGAAATCAATTAACTAAGTTGAACTATGGTTTGTGTATTTAATAAAAAATATTTATAAGACTGATGCTATATATCCTGCTACATTTACAACAAAAATTGTTTGGTTCCATATTAGACAATAGGAGGAAAAGAACAGGTTTCAGGATAGATACACGGTGTCCCTTGATATGAAAACGATAAAATGTTCAGTACTAAATGTACAAACATAAGTTCCAAGAATATACAAAATATTCTGAAAACCTAAGTCCCTATTGCTCACACCGAAAGTAAAGGGCCCCTCCATAATATTCCAGAATGAGACATCAGTTATTTTTGCACTAAAACAACTTCCTGTCAGTCATATCCTGTTTGGCTATGTCTCAGTAATAGAAACAAAAGCCGGGGCAACAGGATGAGGGAGGCAGAAAGAGGAGCTGACCAGAGAGGAACCTGCCATTATGACACCTCCAACCACCTTCAGCCTTCCCCCATTGTTCTAGGCCTTTCTCTGCAATCTTAACTGTGGCCCAGCCTCCCAGGCTGACCCTATTTTGTGCCTTCCTTCCCTGGTACTGACCTCTTTACCTTTCCATCCCCTGACTAAACTCTCCCTCTTTGCACTGCTCTCTCCTCCACCCCACCCCGCCCCACCCCCTACACGCATCTCTGATTTTGCAGCCACAGGGCCCATTCCTCCTAAAAACAGGATAGATGAACAAGAATTACAGTCAACTTCTCTGCTTTCTCAGCAGGTAAATGATCCCCACCTCAGATACACTGGAGGGGGAGGATAAACAGCTGAAGTCATATTCTTACTCAGGGCATAGGTCTGCCCCTGTTGCCTGGGCCACTCACCATGCACACTGCTGAGTAGGCCATTAAAAGGCAAAGCCCACAAACACCTGCTCCCAACACTCCTGACAGCAGCATGCTGAGTGAATGACAATACATCTTAGATTGCTTCATTCTTTTTCCCTTCAAAAAATTACCTTCTGCCTTTTTTTAACCTTCTTAAATAAAAATATTTTTAACACACCTGAGAGATTTCCTCAATTAGCCCAAAAATGTCTTTTGTAGCCCTAACCCCTCAGCGTAGGTTCAACAATGAAGGTTCACACATTACATTTGGTTTTTACACCTCTGTAGTCTCTTTGAATATCGAACTGTTCCCCCATCTGTTTTCTTTTTTAATGACACTGACTTTTAATGAGTCTATGCTGACTGTCATATATACTACCCATTATCCTGTATTTGTCCAGTTGTTTCCTTACAGTGTCATTTAACTTGTTCCTGTATTCTCTGTATTTGCTGTAATCTAGAACTTAGGTCTAGAGGCTTGACTGGGTTCATGCTAGATGGTTCGAGCAAAAATATTTTATAGATGAAACTGTGCTATTTTAAGTTTTCTACAAAGATCATTTATTATTTGTGTTTAAGAAATACATTTAAATTTCTATTCCAAAAAGTAAAAATAAATAAATAAAACACCTGAGAGCTGGGGGGGGGGGATTCTAATGATGCTGCATTTTTCAGGCTTTGACCATTGCCCACAGTAAGAAATATGCTTAAATGTTCCCAACACAAAGGAAACATAAATGTTTGAGGTGCTAGATATCCCAATTACCCTGACTTGATCATTATCCATTATACACAGATATCGAAATAGCATACATACCCCACAAATATGTACAACTATTACATATCAATAACAGTATATAACAAAAACACACCAAAAATATGTTTTACATTACAATGCAACACATACTATATATGTGTGTGTACATGTATATATGTGAAATGTCTATCACTATTAAGAGTAGTATACTTTTATATTCTCTATTCAATTCTATTCCACTTAAATTATTTTTAAATGTGGGTTACATAATGCTTAGCTAAAGAAGCCTGACACAAAGAGTACAAACAGTATGATTCCATTCATAGGAATGCCTAAAATAGTCAAAACTAACCTACTGTGAAGGAGGGCAAAGTAACAGGGTAATCAGCTGGGAGGGGATACAAGACAGTCTGCTGGGTGCTGTGAGTGGTCTGTATATTGATCTGGGCAGTGGTTACGTTACCGTACAAATGTGAATTCCATGGAGCTATACAATTCATGCTTGAGCACTTTGTTCAATGTAAACTATGGCTCAATTAAAAAAAAGAATAAAAATTAAATCAAAACAAACAATAAGAAGTAGAGCTGAAGTCAATTAAATTGATTTTATCAACTAAAATTGCTTCAGCTAACTTGGTTATAACACGAAGTTTAGAAATAATTCTCAATATGTTAAATTTTTAAAAACTGTGAAAACCTAAGTACAAATATAATGTATACATATAAGAATATAAGTATATGTATACATACATGTACACACATGTATATTTACATATATATCATATATACACACACATATATAAAATATAAAATCTGCCTAGGTCTAAATCTGCTTAGATCCTAGGTCTTAGGATCTAAAAACAGTGAATTATGTTGTCCAGGTAGCAAGAGAAGAAAGAAAGGGATAACTCCTACATGTCTTCATAGGAAAAAAACATCGATTTTTAATTAATCATGAGGCTCCAACGAATCTTCTCCTATGTATCCATTCTGTTCACCTAGTTAGAGCAGGAAGTTACCTTCTGAGCTCTACAACCCATCAAATATATTAACTGCTTCAACAAACTAAAACCCAAACAGGTTCCAACACTTTGTTTTGAGAACCCCCAAACATCCAGACACAGAAAAGCAAATCTCAGTGCAAAATAGGATACACAGAAGTTCCTACCAAGAAAACACAAACACACAAGCCAAAACTCTTCCCAGACTAGGAGGAGGTTAAAATGGTGGCACTAAAATTAGCTTTAATAGGCAGGTGCTAAAAAGATACTGTGGTAACAGTCAAGTCCTGAAGAAAAACAATGCTCTAAAGTCCCAGCCAGGGAGGGAGATTTTATATTTGAGAAGAGCCTTGCTGTCTTAAAATAAAGGTCAATGCTGAATGCTAGTCTATTTATAATCCTATATAGATAAACCATGTTTCTATTATAGTGTTTTAGATCTGGGTGTGTAGAGTCACTATTTCACTGTATTATCATAAAAAGAATAGAAAGGCAGTAACAGAATAAGAATATAAAGGGCCAGAGAGAAGACAAAGATACTTCTCTCATTTAAAAAACAATCGTTCATGGATACACACAAGGAGACAAGTACAAGGATATTCATTGTAGCATTGTTTATAATAGAAAAAAATGGAAATAATAGAACAGCTAAAGTGAAATGTTTAATAAAAGGGATGAATTAGATCCATATACCAGCTCAGATGGATCTCAATAAGGCTGAATTTTAAAAAGTGCAGAATAATACATATAGCATGTTAGCATTTATATAACATTTTTAAACATACAAAATAACACCATATATATCATTATGACAGACTGATTTGTAAAAGATATAAAAATGAAATGGAAGTAAAACATAATAGTGCTTGACTCTGGATGGGGTTTGAGGGGACGAAGAGAATGGGAATATAGATAGTGCTTTAAAAGAACTTTAACTATAACTGATGTTTTATTTCTTTTAAAAATATAGAAGCTAAAAAGACAACATAGTAATAACATGTTGAATCTGGGTGGTGGCAGTGTGGTTGTTTTGATTTTCTTTGTGCTTTTCAAGTTTCCTAAAATTATAAAATACAGGTAGAGCCTTTTTTTTTTTTTTTAAATTGAGAGTAACCCAGGAACATTTTCTGTCATTTGGGCAATCTCTCTTTGGTATAGTGGCAAGATCACCACATTCATCCTCTTTGAAACTGTGTCTATTAACTTAAATAAGGAGAAGCGCGTGTGTAAACATAGAAAGTACCATGTTATTATGAGAACACGTACCTAGGTATTTTGGTTATTTCTTTAACACTTGTGATGTAGTATTAAATATTATTAGGGGAAAAACACTTAAAGAATAGTAAAAAGAGGATACTTTGTAGGGTGTTTTCTGAAAAACAGACTGAAGTCTCAACTCAGGGCAGTACCATGCTTCATGTAACCTCATATTCCAGGCAGAAAACAGAGAGTGGTAATCACAACATAATCGCTATGATTTTAACAGATTCCATTCGGGACAAACTTGTGACATGAGAAGCATTTTAATAGCATTCAATGAAGAGCAAATTTAAGATGATGTTACCTTGACAAGTTCAGGCAGGTAGCTATCTAAACCGGAACCAGAACCTTCCAATTTGCTTTGTTCATCATCTAAAATGGCAAAACAGATTATCTGGGTTACTTGTGATTCAAAGTCTTTTATTTAAAACAGGAGAAGGAAGGCCATTTCTCTTAGGTGCCCTTGAATGAAGTGGTCCTTAACTCTGTATACACACAGGAAACACCTGGGGGTGGGGGCTGGGCAGGGTGCTTTGAAAAAATACTGATGCCCAGGCCCAGTGGTGAGCATCAAACATTTAACAGCTGGTACAGCATGTACACTATCTCATTGAACTGATACTAGCTATGAACAACAGCCCACAGGGACACACTTCTCAAAAGTCAGACCTGCCCAGACCTGCCCAACTAAATCAGAACCTTTGGTGGGACCAAGGAAACAGTATTTTTAAAAAGCTTCCACGCACTTCTAGAGGGCAGCCGGGATTGGGGAACTACCTAAGGGCTTGAGCTATACATGAATTGTCAAAAACATAGCCAGATTTTTCTCACCAATGTAATCTGAGGCTCTCACCCATCCTAACCTTGTCTTAAAAATTCCAAAGGATCTTCTTAATGATAAAAACTATTACTAACTAATATAACACATTGCAAACTCTATGCCAGGTACTTGAAATAACATTTTCTTATTTACTCTTTCCATCTGACCAGGAAGTTTTGTTTTTATTCCCATTTTATAGGCAAATAAATGGTGGCTCAGAAAACAAGGAGTAGTTTGCCCAAGGCTACACAGCTGAAAAATGGTATATAGGGGACTCAAACCCAGATCTTCCTCTCTGCATCCAAAGCTGTGGCTTCTCCCATTACATGATGTCCACATAAAAAATGTTAGAGAGGTAAATTCTAATGTGACAAAATCTTTGCTGGCAGCTACCTATAAAGATCTCATATCTGTCCCCTCTCTCATACTTGTGCAATACAAGTCTCCTTCCTAAACACTCCTGGCAAGAACAAAGACCCCCACAGAGTGTGTGTGCACCTGGGAGAAGCCAAACCTACACACACCTTCATGAGAGTCTCCATTTCGCTTTTCTTGCATTGCAGCTTCAAAGTTGAGCTGGAGAATCTTATTGAGAGTTGTGATCCATTCTTCCATTTCCACTTCACTGTCTGCTGCCAGCAGATAAGTACTTTTGTCCTGCATCTTGAGCTCAAAAGCAAAACGCCTGACTTTGTTGTTCTGAAATGGAAAAAGGATAAAGAGACAAGTGTTTAAAGAACTACAGTACTGCCATAAAATAGTGTCTCTCATTGGCTGATGGGGCCATCTCATCGGCATTTCAGAACAAGCTATTTAAAACTGTAAACCCCCTCCCCGTGGACCTCAGCACTATCCCTCCTCCCTGCTTTACCTGCTCCATAGCTTTATTTTTCCATCTCACTCATTACCTATTTTACATATTTATTTTATTCAATGTCTGTCCTGTCCGATGGAATGGAAGCTCCTCAAGGGCAGAGATTTTCCCTTCTTTTTGTTTAATACTACATCCCTAGTCACTGGAACAGTGTCTGGCACATATAGTGGGCACTTCAAAAGTCTTTGTTGAATGAATGAAATTTCATATAAAATTTTCATATTCCTTTAGCTTCTATTTTTTTTTAACAAGGTAGTATGTGGTATTGCATTTTTAAAAGCAAACCATTATCTATTGGCATGTTTGAATGACTTGTCTGGAACTCATCACTTATGAATTCCAAAAGGAAGTTGGACTCCCTGCCTATGGCCTTGGCTCATGTGTCAAGTTTTCATGCCTGTGAGAGGGTGACCAGTTCAAAGTGCAAACACAATAGTCCTCACGCAGTACAAGACGGAAGATGGATGTGCACTAGACCAGGACTTCTCAACCTAGGTACTATTGACATTTGGGCAGCCAATTCTCTGTTGTGAGGGGCTGTCCTGGGCGTTGTAGGATGCTCATGACATTCCTGGCCTCAACCCACCAGATGCCAATAGTAGCACATCCCCAAATCATGATAATTAAAAATGTTTCCAGATACTGCCAGATGTCCCCTGGAGGGGCCAAATCTCCCCGGGTTGCCCACATCAGATAGAGGTTCAGCTCTGAGGAACATGACACAAGACTACTTGTAAGCATAGGCTGGGAGATGTGAAATTACAAACTCCTGCCAACCTGAGAGAAGAAGAGCTTCCTACACCCACTAATATTCTAGCTGGTTAACCACAGTCCCTGAGGAAGCCCCTCGGTGCAAGTGTTGGGGACGGGCAACCCTCCCAAAGGTCTGTCTGTGTTTTCTGCAGCACAGTTCTTGGAAACGCAAAGCCAAGTGCTACTCCAGGTAAAGCCACACAAACTCTTGTGCACAGACTGCCCGCTATGGGCTCAGTAATTGCCACCTGGATTTCACCAAGAATCAGAGAAGCAGTCAAAGGCTAGAAACAAAATGAGTTCTCTCCCCTCCATTCTCCAGTGCCTCATATACTCACCATCATGAAAGTAAAAAGTTAAAAGTGGGGGGAAAACTTTAGGCCTTGATTCTAAGTTATTCCTCTCTCTAAGCCTCAGTATCCTCATCTGCAAATAAGTATACTCGATTTCTAGGGTTCTAAAATACTTCTAAAACTTTTAGTTTAGGCATTTCTTCGAGTTTATAGTACTAACCAACTAATTTTTTTATAACATTCAAAAGTAATAATTTTTAAAAAACACTTAAATCACAACTTCTGAAGTTTAGTTTACAAACAGACATGGATAAAAAAATGATTTTAATCTTTTCAAGCCTTAGATATAATTTATTAAATGAAAAACACCATCAGCTACATCTGCAAAAACAATCCAAAGGAAGAGATTTCCACTGAAGTTAGAACCTTAGTTTTTGAAATGCACCCAAGAGACTAAGTAAAAGCTCAGGGCTGTTGTACTTATAAACATCTGAATACTGTGCCAAAGACATGCAACAAAACTCTCTTGTAAAACAAAAATAATTACTTCCTACTTTTAAAAATGAGATTGCCAAATATATTTAGTTTTGCTTTAACCTATTTTTTTAAGTCAATGCCAGAAAATTCAGTTAAAAGGTAACTTAAAATTTTCCCAACTTAAGAATACAAATGAAAGGAAATTCCTACTTGGGAATCCCACACAAGAAGTTAATTCACTGCCACTGATAAATCACTCTGGTACTCCTTACTTCACACTGTCAATAAACATACTCTGATATAAGTCAGTTGTTCACAGCGGCAGCTTTCAGCTGGGGCTGACCTGCTAGCTGAGAGACATCTACGTACTGATTAGCTGTTGTCTGAAAATTTTCAGTGAACATTAAGTAGTATATTAGTCTTGAGCTAGGACCCCATACACTTTCATGTAGTTTATCTTTTTTTATTTTTTTGGTACTGCAAAGTGATTTTTTAAATTTGTTACAATAATTAAAGCTACCAAGATTTAACTAAAATTTTGTCTTTGTAGCTTTTTGAAAAATCAGATGATCTGGTACTGCTGAGCTAGCAGTTCCACCTGGCAACATCAGCTGAGCTGAGCAGCAGCTGCCCCCGTAACCCAGCACCAGGCTCCAGTCTGCCACAGTCCCCAGCATTTGCTACTGCTTCACAACTAGGCCTCTTCTGCCACCTCATCCACCTGCCTGACCCCTGCAGACATCTCATTCCAGACCTCTGACTTCCTCCACCTCTGGCCACAATGAAGTAACAGGACCTGGACTTACTCTTCTGCCATCATTACTATAAAACCAAACAAAACAGATAAGACACCACAGACAGTGCAGGCCTGTGATCCCTGATAAAAGGGAAATAAGTAAAGTGAGCCCCACACCACCTCAGCCTTCTGCCTGGAGTCAGTATCTGGATCGTGGCACAGGAAGGGGAACCCAAACAGAGTCCTGCCGTCTTGCTGAGTTAAGAGACTGACCAGAGCTGGGGAAGACCAAGGGAACCAGAGTGTGCAGGACAGAGTGTGCAGTCTTCAGAATGTGGTAAAGATAAAAAGAACACAAAAGATAAAAGACAACCAAACTTGACGGAAACTCACTGAGCCACACACCCATTACGTATGTATTCTCTATTTATCCGTCAAGCCTTAACAAAAAAAGTTTACAAAAAAAAAAGTCAAAATCAAGACACAACACCCTAAATTTCTGAATACTAGAGATAAAGAGATGATGACAAACAACAGGGACTAAGAATAACATCAGATTCCTCCAAATGACACTAGTACCCAGAAGGTCATAGAATGCCTCCAAAATTCCAAGGCAAAATGATTTCACTTTGGATTTTCTAACTGGCCAAACTATGAGTCAAGTATGAATGCAAAAATGTTCACAGATACCCTAACACTGAAAAATTAATTTATGCATGATATAATTAACATTAATTATGACATTAATTAATCGATATAACATAGTTAATGTATGATATCAAAAATTAATATCATACATCCATATATTACTGGAGGATGTGCTCCTCAAAAACAAGAAAGTACAACAAGAATGAGGAAGATACGGGATCCTGGAACTAGGGAATCCGACACGGGGAAGGGGACAGAGGGAATCTCTAGGATGACAGCTGTGTGAGGTGGAGAAAGTGATGCGTCCAGATTAGAATAGGAAGGAGGGTACCAGGAGCTAAAATCCTATCTACCAGCATAGGAGTCATCCAATGTCCAAAGCTAATGAATGAAGAAAGAACTGTGAACATCCATGGCCCAGAAATATGAGAGAAAACTCCAAAAAGAATAATGAAAAAAGTTGAAAATGACTGTTTCAGGGAAGCAGAGAGCGCCTGAGTAGGGTTGATGCAGGGGTGAGGTACTTTTCCCACTACCCTTCAGCACGACTAGACTGTTTCAATTACATGAATGTATTCCTTGGTAAAAATGCACTTTAATTTTAGGCAACCAGATAAATACATAAACGAGAATACCTGTGGTCACTCCAGATAGCTGTGCCCCAGACTTTAGTCACACTGGCCCCACAAAACAGCCTCCTTACAGAATTGAGCTTTGGGCTGATATGATCAGCCACCACGGAGTCATGTTTAGGGGAAAATTCTCTGCTAACATGACTGCATCTTTTGTGAGGAGTTGTTAGGGAGACTGTTCGTTAATCAGAGAGCCCTCTGTCTAAGAACCCTCAGAGAAATGCCTGAGTGATCTTCATTCTGAGATTACTGGGGCAGCTTCTGACTAATTGGATTCTCTGTGTCTTATGTGCACTGCAATTGTGTCCGGATCTTGGGGGTCTACCCATAGCAGGTGTTAGGCCTTCAAAACATGTGCTTTTTTTTTTCTTAATTCTATTTTATCTCGCCCCATCCCAAACCCTTGTTCATCTTTCTGCTTTCACTCCCATTTTAAATTTATGCTGTCCTATGTTTTATGCATCCCTGTAAGCTGTTGCCTTAAATCTTCCTGGAAAATGGCAAAGGAGTGGGTGGAAGGATGGAAAGATGAACAGACAGATGGAGAGATGGACAGATGATGGGTGGGGAAACCAACAACTTGCTTTTAAAGACAACTATAAAAAGATACAGAAGGATGCACACCAAACTGGTAACAGCTCCCTGGGAAAGGGAGAGCTGGGAGGTGGGGAGAGGGAGTCAGGACTTCTGCTTTATTTGCATTGTCCAATTTTAAAAAATAAGAATACATTCATTTGTTATATATAATTAAAGATAATTTTTAATAACAACTCACGAGTGCAACAACACTACGGTAACAAAACTATCTCATATGGACTGAATGCTTACCATCTGCTGGCACTGTTCTAAGCTCTGTATGAGTATTAATTTAATTAATCCTCTCAGTAACCATACTTGGTACTATCATTATCCCTACTTAACAAATGAGGAAACTGAGGTGCGGGAAGGTTAAATAACATCCCCAAGGTTACACAGCTAATAAGTGGTAGAGCAGGTATTTAAACAAGTTGCCTCAAAACCCAACTCTTTACTGATACGCTACACTGCAACCGGTACTACGGTGATAGTGACAATAGTCACCACTGAGATGCTAGAGCTGTTCTAAATATTTCCACGTGTTGACTCATTTTGGAAGTGTTTGCTTAAACCTGCCATTCACAAATAGTATTACTGCAGATAAGAAAACTTGATGACAAAACTCTTTTCATATTTACCTGAACAACACCCATACAGGAATCCAGAAATATTGATCCTTTCGGTTCCTTGGAGATCTTTTCATCTTTATAAAAATTCAAATTATACGATCCATCACCAAGTTGAATCAGGTGGAAAAAACGTCTCTTAAATGACTGGAAGAAAATACATACAGAGCTATTCTTTCAAAATGAAAAGAGCCACATCTCTATCAATAACCCACTTAAGACTACACGCATACATAAAAACTGTTTCAGTTCTCTCCAAAACTAACCCCGCTCCAGCTAACTGGATGGGTTAGGCTGAGGCTCCAGGTAACTGGATGGGTTACGACTCCCCATCACATCTAACAGACTCGCTGCATTTCAGTTCTGCGGAGGTGGCTGCCTTAACATCCATGGGTCATTTTTCTCACCCTCAGAATCTGAAATTTTACATAACCACCCAAAAGCAGTGCAAGGACTTCCAATTTGGAATGCAGCACAGAAGGATGGAAACTTTTTCTAAACTCCCCAGGGCTTCTTGCTCACACAGAATAGGAACTATTTTCTGCCTCGTGACACTGAGCGATTTTCCAGCCTGGGATTATGACAGTCACATTTCCCTTGATTTAGTTTTCACCTTCCTGTTCATCCTTCCTCTCTTCAATTGTTTGTTTTCTCTGTATTTGTAATCCTGATCTTTCTCTGGTCCTATTTCTCTCCTGAATAGCTTCTTAGACTAGTTTTACTTTTCTCTCTGCAACCCTCTTGCAATTTAACAATATTCCTTTTCAGTCCTCAACTTTTGCTTTACTTGACTTTGCCGCAGTACACTTCCACAGAAATGCTGAGGTCTAGCATGACAAACAGGCCCTCAGTGATGTTCTGTGAGGTACCAAGGTGCATTTTTCAGTTCAAATAGAGAAGAAAGCCTATGTCAGTGATGGACTTTCACGCCAGCCCAGTGATAGTTTCTTCATGCTGGTGGTCAGAGGGTGATGAGGGAAGTGGGTGAACAGGGCTGTCCCAATGGGGGTGCTTCTATCATGGAAGCATTTTAGTAAACAGACAACGTCCCTTTTGTCAGGAAGAACAGCACGCCCACTCATCTTGGGCATTGTGCTCAAGACCTACAGCAGAAAGGGTTTCATGGGAGGGGAAAGCAGGGTACAGGCCTCCTCACCCTCATGGTCACACTGATGGCAGTGTTCATGTTGCCTTTGTACAGCCACCCATGCTTGGTGATTCCACCCTTCTGAGATCCGAGGGAGGCAGCATCCTGGGAGAAAAGGAAAACACCACCAAAATCAATCTCTCGTTAACACTGAGGCAACTCGTTGTGAGCTTGGTCAGTGGGAAAATCTCCCCCTTTGTGCCAAGCTGTCCATCACCCCTTTACTGTAGGAACCACTGACACTAATGCCTACAAGTCACATTAGAGTCCGCTTAGCAGTAAAAGAGAGAGATCAGCCTACATTCCTGAAAACCCCATTCCATTAAAGGCAAAGCAAGCTCCAGTCCAAATTTTTAAGTGTTTAATGAACCACGGAAAGTACATACCACACTTGACCACTCTAGTTGGAAGGTCTTGCCTGGTTTCATGAAAAATATTTTCAAATTACACTCCCCTATAGTTGGAGGACAAAAGCAAATTCCTGGAAAACTTCCCAGAGGCTTAGTTCAGGGAAAGGTGAATAAAGAAAGAGAGGAAACGTGAGGCAACACATAAAAGAGAGATAAAATGATGGAGCAAAGGAAAAGAAGAAAGAAAAGCAAGAATGCAAGCAGGAATAGAGGAGGAGGAGGAGCCAGAAAAGTGAAGAGAAAGCTAGAGAAGCAAAGAAACATGCTTTTTCAAGTTCAGACCTCACATGATGAGATCTAGGTTTATGGAAGAGGGCATGGAGCTGCTACCACTGCTAAAAATGTTAGGCATATATTTGTATATACAATAAACAGATAAAACACATGCACAAACAACTCTGCAATTCTTTTGTAATCAAACAGACAATGGCAGAAAGACCCATCCTATGCTTTGTTTTGGACTATCTCAATATTAATTTTAGCAGTTGTATTATTATTAACAGTAATAATTTCTCTGTCTAGGACTTCACAATGTATTGTATGTCATTCCATGCATTATTTCAATTGGTCCTCCTGTCACTATTTGTCCCAATTGGCACCAAGTTCTCAAGACCCTGTTTATTTTAAATGACCACTTACTTTTCTCAGAATTATTTCATAAGTGGTTTCTAAAACAATTTGCTACACGGACATTATTAAAGTTCATCAGTGACTGGTGTTATGGCTCAGCTGACATTTTAGGGGAAAAAAATGGAAAAACCTAAACTCACAATAGGGCATCCAATATCTAGTGGGGAAAATGAGAAGTGCAGATATGGGCAGCACTACCTTTTTATGTCTCCCTTGTTCAGTGAAAAAAATCACCTTGATGCCCTACTCTCTTTATATACTCCTTTAGCCATAATCTTTTCTCTAGGAGCAGAGAGAGTGGGCTTGATAAAACCAGATTTCACTAAAAGCAATCACTGAAGAAACAGCCATTTAAAAATCTACTTGCCAGTTCAAGATATCCTGTTGAAAAACAACCTAAATTTAAGGTCTAAGTAATCTTGATATCTTTTAACAACGTAGCCAAATCTAATCCAAGTCTTTGAAAATGATCCCAGAACAAATAAATACAACCAGAAGAACATGAAATGCTAAGCAGTCAAGTTGAAACAGAGATCTTATTTCAATCAATCAAATAATACGTTTTTTAAAATTCTTCCGGTTTCATGTAACACTCCAATTCTTGTTTTGGCTAAATATTGGTAATTTTCTTACAAATCATCTAAGTCTGTAACAATCAACGTTTAGGTCTAAAGTGAGAAGAGAAGCAACGGCAAGCAGGCGTCCCACCTCATCTTTGTCAGCCTCCTCATCAACTTCATAGACATGAACTGGAAGTTTATCCAACTTGGCCACTTTGCTTTAAAAACAAGAAAGAAAACTTGTTTTATAATTGCCTAGTCAGTGCACAGGCTTTGCATTTCTTCCTCCATCAGAGGAACAAGCCTTTAATAAATCCAAAGCTGGTCCACTCAGATAAAGGATAAAACAATCAGTACCCTTGCTACCCAAAGTTGGTGAGCCAAGAAACTTGAGTCAGAAAGCTCCAAAAAGCTATGTAAAAGAGACAGCATATCTTGTTGGGAGTCAGTAGACATATTAAAAATAAGGAAGTGGATTAGTTATTAATAAATAAGACTTGGTACAATAACTTTTAATGCAAAGTTTATGAGCAAAAGTAGAATTTGGAGTCACTGCATTCAAAGTGATTAATAATGATGGAACTAACCATAATAAGAGCAAGACATCAGTAACAATAGCAGCCGGCCTTTATTAAATGCTTATTATGTGCCAGGCCCTGTGCTGTATACTTTACATGTATTCTCTCATTCAGTCCTTTAGATGGTAGAGACTTTTTTTTTTTTTTTTTTTTTTTGAGACAGAGTCTTGTTGTTGCCCAGGCTAGAATGAGTGCCGTGGCGTAAGCCTAGCTCACTGCAACCTCAAACTCCTGGGCTCAAGCAATCCTTCTGCCTCAGCCTCCCGAGTAGCTGGGGCTACAGGCATGCGCCACCATGCTCGGCTAATTTTTTCTATATTTATGAGTTGGCCAATTAATTTCTTTCTATTTATAGTAGAGACGGGGGTCTCGCTCTTGCTCAGGCTGGTTTCGAACTCCTGACCTCGAGCAATCCGCCCGCCTCGGCCTCCCAGAGTGCTAGGATTAGATGGTGGAGACTTATTAAGACTATTTAACAGGTAAGGAAACTGAGGCTTACAGAGGGCAGAGTTGACGCAGGCAGAACACAGAATCTATGTTCTTCCCCATGGTTACAATTCTCTCACTCTTCCTCATCACATATTTGGAAATTCTTATGAATGCCACAAAGTGAAATCTACCAGCAGTCTATATTCTAGAAAGTACACAGTATCTCACAGTCTGTTAGCTTCTAACCATGAGAATATGAACAAGACAATAAAGATGGGTTCAGCCAATCAAATGGAAAGAATTGTAAGATCCCCAAATGAGGACTGGGTAAATATAGAACTAAAGAGCATGCACATCTGGAGAAGATAATGCTAGGAGGGAGTGTTCTCGGCTGAGGTTTAAAAAGAAGCAATTGGGGAGTTGGCTGAACACTCCTAAGGAGTGGCAGAGCCACACAAAGAGGAAAAACAAATAGCTAGGTCCCCTGAGACTACTATAAAGGCTCAAAGTCATAGATGCAACACAAAGAAAAATATATTAATTGGGTATCAAGCAATATTTTTATTCGTGATGGTTACTTTTCAAACAATACATTGCTTTCAATTTTCATAATCAACTAGACTTCAATTTGCCAGCTACAATGGTTTGGATAGGATTTATTTATCCCCATCAAAACTCATTGAAATCTGATCCCCAATGTGGTGGTGCTGGGCCAATGGGGATGTAGCTGGGTCAGTCACAGATCCCTTCTGAAAGGCTCAATGCTCTTTTCACAGTAGTGAGTAGGAGTTCTTGTTCTGGTGACAGGACTAGTTATCTTGGGAATGGATCAGTTCATGAGAACAGGTTGTTAGAAAGCAAGGATCCTCCTCCTGTTTGGTTCCCGTCTGTACTCGCCCCCTTCTCCTCTGATCTTCTCCACCATGTTTTGATGCAGCACAAAAGCCCTCACTAGAAGCTGAGCAGATGCCAGCTCCATGCTTCTCATACAGCCTGCAGAATTATGAGCTAACTAAACCTCTTTTCTTTATAAATTACGCAGTTTCAGGTATTCTGTGAAAGCAACACAAAATGGACCAAGACATTACCTGTACCATTTCAGGATGTATTGTTTTATAACAGTCTCTACCAATCCCTGATTCACTTTAACTACCACTAATCAGTATAAACACATTTGCTTTTGGTATAGCCTAGAATGAGTTAATACTTTAAAGGAGGTAAAGAAATTTAACTGGGAAAATACTTGTTTCTTGATTTACTATTTTTAACATAAAATATAATATGCCCTTTATAAGTCTCTTCATCAAAATATTCTTTTAAACAAAAAAATATACTGCAGCATACTTCAATACACTTACATTTTCTTTGTTTTGTATTTCTCAATGAAAAAATTTCATCTATTTATGTTTTGTCAGTGGTAGCCTAAAAATGCTGAACATAATTAAACTACCCACGTATTTATTACCACCTACCAATACCAGAGTACTATGTTTGAGTCTTATCATCAAAGGCCCTGTAAACAGTAGCTACACCATATATACACAAACCATCTAGAAATATTTTCTCCAATTACTCTGATTGCATCTGAAGTTATGTTCCTCCCTGAGCATTTCAAGTACAAAGACTTTTCACTATGAGTATAACTCCATCTTGTGTGGTCTGACAGTTACTCACTTTGGAAGCTGTCGAAACTCTCCTGAGTAATCTTCATATTTATAGTTCACGAGATGCCAGTCAGAGTTGTAGGTTTTGATGCACTATTGGGAAGAGAAGAGGGATTAAAAAGATAAAAAGAAAAAAGAAAGATATGTGATGACTTTTGGAAAACATTTGGGAAGGTTTGTGAAGGCACACCCACACAAACATCAAAAAAATTCTTTCCCATCACCAGAGTGACTCCTGTGAAGCTTAAGACTTTGAACTACTAAAACATGACCCTTGGGAGCAGTATCACTTTAAGTTATTATCATCAAAGATCTTACATGGAGACAAACTTTACCCAACCTTGTGGCATTTACGTAACAATGTACTGTGTCTCAGACTAAGCACTTGGTTCTTAAGAAGCTATGTGGCCTCTACTAGGACATGAAAGTGATTAGGAAGTGTGAACCTAAAGACATTTTTACTGATATTAGAACTAGCTGTTAATGTTATCATAAATTTGCTCTCAGTTTTTCTTTCTATCCCTAAGGAACAGAGTGAGGACATTAGGAGGAAAGATTTAGATTCCAATTCATAGTGGCACCATGATATTTTCATCTGTGTGTGTATACAGAATATATAATATATGCAGGACTACTCTGTCAAGGATTCTATCAGGCATTAACCTGCACAGACCGCATTTAAACTACCTCACTCCCTGACAGAGTCAATGAGCCAGCATGGTGTCTCTCATTCATGTAACCATGAGAGAGCTAACCATCTACTCATTGTGGTTCCTTATAATTTTAAATATTTAAACATTTTAATTATCTTTCTTCTCCATTTTGCCTAAGATATCAAAATCTGGGCAATCAAATGCTCCATTGATAAATGCATCCATCATACAGAAGTTTATGCTTATAGACCCATAAGGATCTGGCCAGTAGTGTGTAGATCATTAAGACTGTAATGCCCCATCCACCAGACCTTCATATATGAGTCATATATGAGTCAGAACCAACAGGTGAAGATTTTTAGTAATATCAGCTTAGTTCAAATGAATCAGCTCTTGACTGCACATATGCAGACTTGAGTATGGGGAAAAATATGAATGCATAAATGAAAACACGGGTAGATAAATGTATTTATGCCTTACCTAGTTTGACTCTGGCTGTAACTAACATCATGAACAAAGTCTGTATGCTGCTTATTTCACTTCACAGTTTATACTATCATCCTTTTATCTATGGCATAGCCTATGCCTGAAGGCCTTCTGGAGCAAACTGTCCTCTGTCCCCAAATTCATGAAAATACTAACAGCAACAACAGCGAGTGCTTATTTTGTGCCAAGCTCTATGATAAGTATTCTTCACTCACAAGGGTACGAAGGGAAGGTAGTGTAAGATTTTTACAGTATCATTCTCAGAGGTGGAATAAATAGCAGAGTTAAGAGCAGAGTCAGCTGTGGGAGATGACCAACTGTTCAATTTTTTTACTATGCAGTTACAAATATTTTTAAATGCAATTTTATTCTTGAAAATGCTTTTTTAAATTTCTCAAAGCATTTTCATATTTAGAACATTACATATTCACATTTAAAACTGCATTCCAAAAGCAAAATGATTTCAGAATTATCCAGTTTTGGATTTTCCCACTCCTGCCCATAGGTTCACCAGCACACCTAAGTCAGGCCAGACTGCATATGACACAGTCTAGCGGACACTCTCACATTCACTTTATATAGCCATGGTGGTTTTCCATCACACACTGCAATGAAAGTTGTACCATGTCTCTTGTAGGGCATTAAGGCCATTCTGAAGTACAAAATATACCTGCCCAATTAAAATCTAAGTAAATAAGCATAAACTTGTATACATCATGAATACAGTTATGAATAGAACATGAATGCCCAGATTTTAATATCTTAGGCAAAATGGGTAAGAAAGATAATTATAATGTTTAAATATTTAAAATTTTAAGGAATCACAAAAAAACACAATTAACCAAGTTAAGTACCTAGAGCTTCATTCATTCATTTAGCAGGCTACTGTTTACTCTCTACATAGCAAGTGCTGGCTAAATTCCAAGGCAGAAGCATAGAGTAAGGCAAGCAAGTCCCTCCCCTCTCAGGGATGTAAGTCTGGGGAATAATGGTTCCATTAGATATCCATATGCAAAGAAGTGCACTTCCAAAAAGACAGGGATACAACTGATCACATGAGTAACCTTTCACGCTTGTGAAATTCAGTAATATTTTGATGTTACGCTGAAAGGTTTTTGAAGTTGTTTTTTTAAACCCATTAGGTCATTGTCCTGGATCAGAGGATGGAGAGGAAGTGATATTCTCTCCACCCAAGTGGAAGGGTCCCAAGCACTTAGTTATGTTGGCTCCAGCAGCACGGTATAAAGCAGTTTTTGCTCAACCTGTAGTGATTAAAGAACTTAATGAAGAGTTATCCCCCAAAAGCCATATTTTTTAAAATCAATTGGGAGAACTAAGTTAGTAATTAATAATTTTGCCATATGCTTTAAAACAGTATCAACAAACTTTGTGCAAAAGGCCACATAGCAAAAATTTTCAGCTCTTAGGGTCAGTCATCTGGTGACAGTAGCCATAGGCAATATATAAACAAACAGGATGGCTACATTACAATAAAATTTTATTTACAAAAATAGGTTGCAGGCCATATTTTGCCTACAGGTCATACATAGTTTGCCATCTCTTGCTTTAAAACACTTATGACCATCACTTACAAAAACATATCTGACTGTATTTGTTTGGAATTAATTTTGCTAATATTTACTAGGATTTTACAAAGTAGGTAAGACAAGAAGTTTCCTTTTCAGAAGGATGAGAGAACACACTTCGAAAAACTTATTGTTATTTAGTTGGTCTTCACTTATAAAAGCATAGCTTCCTTATAGTGGGTAATTTTAGTGATGGACATATTACCTAAATATCAACTAGAAAAATGAGGATAAAAATTCATTATTTTTAAATGAAGGAGTACTTCAAGAAACAAAATGAAAGCACCTAATGTGCTCATCCTACCTAAAATATCTGGAGAAAGAAATAAACACCCCAACAACAACAACAACAACAAAAAACAAGCAACCTAATTTGCAATAATTTTTCTCTCCTCCATAACAAGATGTTATTTGTATGTTCAAACAAAAGTAGCGATAATCAAAGTACAAGGACTGTCCAGAAAGTAGCCAGCCATGTTAATTGCTCTTGTTATATTAACAATGGCTGGATACTTTCCCAAAGGCCCTTGGTTATATATTGGTTAGGGATCTATACAATAATCTACATATACATGTAATATATATTTTTAACAGGGATGGTCAGACTCTGCTTACAATCACCTGCTACTTCATAAATACAAACTAGTCTTAAAAATAACTTGCAAATATAAACATAGAAATGAAGTAAATGAATACATAAATGTGTGTGCTTAGTCACCCTTAAAAACAGTATCAATAACAAAGCCTCCAACAGAGATTTCCAGTGAATTCATTTACAAGTTATCCCTATTTTAAGCCAATGAGATAAATTTTTTGGAATTCATTTTCTATAGTCACTAATGACCCCTGTGGACATTTCTGTTCAAGTTTCAGACTCTGAAAACTTCATATTATTCCTATTTTAATTTCCATCATATAGTTACCACTTTGACACTTTCTTGAAAATTTTGAAATTTGAAGAAAAGAAACAAATAGAGGAAAATAACTTTAAAATGTAAATTAATGCAGGAAAAAGCCTTACCTCTGTAACAAATAAGCTCTGTGCTTCCTCTTCTGCCTTTACAGGAACTGTTGAACATATGTATCGGCCCTGGCGTCTTAGGATGGCCGTCTGGGAACAAAAACACGAAGACTTGTGTAAGTGAAGAAAGCAGGCACACCCTGCAGCAGGGCCTAGCACCCACACGGTCCCTCCAATTCCTCCCAGTCGGTGCAGCTGCCTCTTCAGGTCACTCACAACAGATTCCACCTGGCACACTGAAGTTCCACAGCCAGGCTGGGTAATAAATAGCTCCTGCTTCTTTCTGGATCAGGGGCCCAACAAGGCCCTCTACTCTGAAGCAGAATAGAGGCCCCTTTCACAGTCCCAAAACCCCTGAAACCTAAGAGCATGGATAACAAGGCACGTAAAAGGTCCTCAATCAATAATTGTTGATTGATTCACTACAAATAGTGAATACTGCCTTCCCTCTCAGAAATAGGAACACTAGAGCTGCTCCAGTTTCATCAGGCTTAAATGCTTCTTTTAACTAAAATGATTTAGCAGCATAACTACCTCAATAACTGGGCTTCAGGTTTCAGAAACAAATGTTCTAGGTTTTTTCTCCCATGGACTATAATCCTTGAGTACTATTAACAGATCACAGTCATAAAAGTTGTATACATGAAAACATTTTGCTAACAGAATCCAATGATTAGCTCTTCATGGCTAATTACTAAGCAGGGATCCCATGGCATAGGTCCTGGCAATTTCCCTTCTTCCTTTGGTTGGAGGGAGCTTTGAGTCAAATCTGCCATCCTTCTTCCCTCCGGTCTAGGTAGAGAACTTTAGGAAATGTATGTTGTATATGCACTTATTTTCTCTCTGTTGTGTCTACTTCACCTACATTTAGTATTAAATATTTTCTTGCACTATATCCCTTTTTGAAAGTAATCTTAAAGCCTATTTTTAAAATCAGGCTCCCTTATTATAAAGGAAGGGAAGGAAGGAATTCTGTTCTCCATCAAAGTCCTTTGCAGGTAAATTATTCATTCATTCAGCTCTTTCAAGACACTGGGTCTAGGTTTCTTGGTGAATATTACAAACAAATGGTGATCTTTAATACACACCTATTCTCATGAAATGACATTGAGACAAGTGACCACAGCACGGAAGAGAAGCACAATCTACTCAAAAAGCTACAAAGCAATACACTAATTACAGTGACTATCAAAATTATGATTATGAATCAGATATGTTATCAATAAAGGGAGATTTTTTTAATGAAATTCTGTATACTTCAAAAAAAGTAAACATTTTATATCCCCATTAATTGTGGCTTGATCTTCATTTATCTGGGTCTTTCAATAGTTTTGAAATTAATTATAATACTTTTAAAACATTCATGAAATGGCTCAGGGCAAGAAATGGGACTATTAGGGTCATTCACAGGCTATTTCTCATCACAACACTGGGAAAAAATAAAATGTATTACAAAATTTCCTAGTATAATTACCAACTCAAGAAAATTTAATTATATGACATTTTTCCAAATACCCCTTTGAGGTGAGAAAAATAACAGGAAATAGATCTGATTCTCATGTATCAAAATGCCATTATGTTCTCATTTGAAAAAGAGAGCAACTTTAAATAATTAAAAAGAGAGACCTGAGTTTTAACAGATAAGCTAGCACAATATTTGTCATTTCAAAATTAGGTTTACACATTTATCATTATTGATCAACTCCTAACTTTGACAAAACACAGTTTTCTGACCAAAGCCCATTTTCTCCCTGACACTTCATCCAAATAAACTAAATTAGGTATGTTTCTTTAGCACATGTCCAGCTATTTTTTATGTGGAATTCTTGAACTATATTAGATCTGTTATAGATAATCTCCAAAGTTGGCTGCCATCCTTCTTTATATATGCACACTGCTGCTTACACCAAAAGGTGGAGTCGACTTCCCCTTCCCTTGCATTTGAGCTGGCTTTGACCAATAAGATGGGGTGGAAGGGATCACGATGCATCAGTTCCAAACCTAGCCTTTGTGAAAACTGGCCACTTCCACTTCGTCCCCTTGGAAGCCAACTGCCATAGAAAAAGTTCTATTATCCTGAGACCACCATCATGAGAGGAAGTACAAGCCAGCCACATGGAGAAGCCACATACACAAAAAAAGAGGTTCTACCAGCCCCCACCTGGTCCCAGTCATCCCAGGTGAGGTACACCACAATGTGAGTAAAGAAGCCATCTTGGACATTCCACCCCCACAGACAGCAGGTAAAACAGATGAACCACCCATCTGAGCCTTAACCAGATTTTGGAATTGTGAGAAATAATAAATTATTGTCTTAGGTTACTAGGTTTTGGGGTGATTTGTTACTCAACAATAGATAACTGAAACAAGATTGTAAGAGATTAGGAATAGCTCCAAGTTAGAGTACTAAAGAATACTGCCATCTTCATGAAAATGGATTTCAAATACTAGTTACAATAAAGAGTTAGGACAGGAGTAGTGAGGAGAGATACCATGCTGCAATCTGGTTTCCATAATCACCCTTCTACTTGGTCAAAGCCCTGAAAGAGGTCAAATAAGACAGAGTAAAACCCTTGGATATTAGGAGTAGTCTGCAGTCTTCTCTTCATGAAAAACACTCTACTGATCATCTAAGGTTTCAGTATAATCATTACTTCATCCATCCATCCAAACCTTTAATAGGTCCCTACCTTCTATCAGACACTGAGCTAACAACTAGAGGCACAAATTTTAATAAAATGTGGTTGCTGTTCTTATAAAGCTTATAGTCTGATGAAAGAGGATGATAGGGAAATAAATTATTACAGTGTGATAAGTATTACAGAAGGTACAGAAAAAAGAACAAAGATGCACAGGGTGTTATGACAGAAAAGAGTAGTGGAGTCTAAATCCTACAGGACGGATAGGACAACATCAGGAAAGGACACACTGAGGGAGAGATGCTTAAGATAAATTGTAAAGGATGGGCACCAGTTGGATTTAGGACAAAAGGAAGAGAAACTTGGAGATAAGCTGAAGTTCAAAGAGCAAAATAAAGAAATAATAAATGAGATTAACTCTTTACAAAAAAAATTTTTTCATTAAGTCCTAGTACTAAAAATATGTCTTAAGTCAAAGGAAAAACTGCCTAGAACTCTGATCTCGATTTAAACAATACTTAATCCCCACACCTAGGATATGAATGTACCAATAGAAAGAACAGGTCTCTTATGGCTGAAGGAATTTTGTCAGTGTCTTTACTACTATTTAAAAGGAAAGGCTGGACCCGGGGGACTATTGGACTTGGCACCAGTGGGACAGTCACCATTTGATGCCACCAGTTGTCAAGGTCTTCCCACTCACTGCCCCTGCTCTGCATAGAGCCTCACCAAGCCACTTGCTTACAAATGCTTCCCATTTAGACTTTCCTACTGGGAAAAAATGCACCGCCAATGAAGGCATTCTGATGGGCTTGTTAATTCCAGTTCCCAACATACATTAATAAAATGGTATTCTGGCTCGTTCTCTTGTGGAGTTGGCTACTATGAGTCAGCTCTCCTGAGGCTGAAATACTCTGGTCATATTGACCAAATCCTAGTCCTAGATCCTCAGATCTGATCCTGAACCATGGTGACCTCATAAACCACCCCCCAGAGATCCGTCTGAAAAGCTAGTCGATCCCTGGCTCCATTATCCAACACTCTCCCATAAGCACATGTCTTTCTTTCCCCTACCTGATTGTCAATTTTTTGAGGACAGATGACATATCTATTTGTATCTCTATGCTAGCACTCAATAAATGTTTTAATAATGAATGAATAAAACAGCCAATAGAGATTGAAATAGGAAACTACCAACAATCACCCGTTACTTTCATGTAAGTTTTTTTCTATTATTACAAAATTTCTTTGGTCCATTATAGAAACTGACAAGGGAAGAGTATAGCATAAGTGAAGGCTCTATTTTTATTTCTCCACAGATTTTGTGTATTAAAAGTCACATTCAGATAAATAATCTACTTTGTGCCAAACTGATTCACATTAAATTTCTGTACTTTTATTTATCTAGCTTATAGCAGAGCCCAAGTCAGAGCCCGAGATTTATGCTCAAACAGCAGCACTAAAGCCCTTCTCAACAATGAGCTATATTTTATTTTTCATGGCTGTAGCTTTCTTTTCTACTTTTCTATCAGTTAAAATCATATTCTTGCTAAAAGATGGGTCCAAATCCATTTTATATAAGTTATCATCAAAGTAGGCATAAAAAGCATACTAGTCTCATTCCTATATTTGGAAATAAATTATTTCCATTGTGCTAAGAAAGCTATACATTTTAAAAGGGGAGGGGAGAAAACATTTCACACCATGAAATCCAATATGGATCTGAAAATCAAACCTAAACACTGCTAGTGTCTCAGACAACTATTGAGATAGATATCTCACAGCACAAAACAAACTGAAAAATAAAAGTCCTCTCCTAGCTATTATAACAGCATTTAAATTCTTTTCAGTCAGTGCCACTACTTAGGTTAAACACTGGTAGTCTCTGACACCCAGAAATCCTTAGTTACCTTGGCTAAGTATGAACAGGACTCTTACGAGGAGTTCCACAAAATCACAGGTGTAATTGAAAACGACCAGAAAAGCATGAGGATGCACGGACACCTGAGAACCCTGAGTCAATTTTTATGAGCCTATTTTTTTAATGGAATGAGTTGAAAAAGTACAGAGTCACCCTCACACTCGAAAGACAAAGACTACAATTTCTGTCTCCAAGTCTAGTTTGGAAGGACAAATTTCAAATAGATCTTTTTTATTAAAACAAATTTTTTTTCCTCGTAGTTGAAATGATTCCCTCCAAACACTGGGTCACCTGCTGCAACTTCAGCTTAAACTCAAAATCCTTCTCTACTAACTAAATTCCTGGCCCCACCCAGGCCAGGGCTCTGTCTGGCCTCCACTAGTAGCAGCCAACACTAGACCCTGAGCCCACTGAAGCTGAGGATACAGAGACGCTCGTGTTTCCAACCACAAGAAATGTGAAGAGAATCATTTCATTAAACTTCTGATGAAAGAATTTGAGAAGTGACATTGGAAAGAGTTTTGAGTTGG